AACCACAAGGAGATACCATTTCCCCCTCACTAGGATGACTATAATCCAAATGGCAGATAATAATAAGTATTGGCTTGAATGTGGAAAAATGGCTGGGTACTGTGGTTTATGCCTATAATCCCAGCACTTTGAGAGGTAGAGGTGGGTGGATCACTTGAGGTCAAGAGTTTGAGACTAGCCTGGCCAACATAGTAAAACCCTGTCTCTACAAAAATACAAAAATTAGCCAGGCGTGTGTTGCACACCTGTAATCCCAGCTACTTAGGAGGCTGAGGCAGGAGAATCACTTGAACCTGAGAGGTGGAGGTGACAGTGAGCTGAGATCGTGTCACTGCACTCCAGCCTGGGCAACAGAGCGAGACTCCATCCCTCCCCTCAAAAAACAAAGAAGAATATGGAAAAACTAGAACTGTCATACAGTGCTGGTGGGAACACAAAATGGTACAGCTGCTTTGGAAAACGGTCTGGCAGTTCCTCACAAGATTAAACTAGAGTTGCCATATGGCCCAGCAATCCTTGGTATATACCCAAGGGAAATGGAAACATATGTCTACACAAAAATTTGTACAGACATGTAAATAGCAGCACTATTTCTAATAGTCAAAGAGTGGAAATAACCCTAATATCCATCAATTGAGGAAGGGATAAATAAAATGTGATATTTCATACAATGCATGATTTATTATTCATCAATAAGAAAGAATGAAGTACTCATACATACTCCAACATTGATGAACCTTGAAAATATTATGCGAAGTGAAAAAAGCTAGCCACAAAAGACTACATAATGGGTGATTCCATTTACATAAAATGTACAGAATGGGCCAATCTGGAGAGACAGAAAGTAGATTTGTGTTAGCCTAGGGCTGGGGTGAGAATCAGGGGATGGGAGTTGGGGGGAGAATGGGGAGTGACTGCTAATGGGTATAGGGCTTCTTTTCGGGTGATAAAAACTCTCCAAAATTGATTGTGGTAAAGGTTATATAATTCCATGAATATACTAAAAAGTATTACATTGCACATTTTATTAATTTTTATTTTTTTTAAAAATAGAGACAAGGCCTCACTATGTTGCCCAAGCTGGTCTCGAACTCCTAAGCTCAAGCAATCTTTCCACCCCAGGTTCTCAAAGTGCTGGGATTACCAGCGTAACATTGTATATTTTAAATGGGTGAATTATATCTCAATAAAACTGCTTATTTTGTTTGGTTTCGTTTTTTGAGACAGCGTCTCGCTCTGTCACAGGCTGGAGTGCAGTGGCACAATCTCAGTTCTCTGCAACGTCTGCTTCTCTGGTTCAAGCAATTCTCCTGCCTCAGCCTCCCAGGGAGCTGGGAATATAGGCACATGCCACCACGTCCATCTAATTTTTGCATTTTTAATAGAGACAAGGTTTCACTATGTTGGCCAGGATGGTTTCAATCTCTTGACCTTGTGATCCACTCACCTCAGCCTCCCAAAGTGCTGGGATTACAGTTGTAAAATAAAGCTGTTTTAAAAAGATATATAATCACATAAAAATATCAAGTACTCAGGATTTATCTAATAACAGACTGCAAGACTTCTACATAGAACACTATATTACTGTAAGAAATTCAAGAATGAAATAAACAGAGAGCTATGTCATGATCAGACTTAGAAGACTGAATAATGTAAATTTGTCATTCTCTCTCCAATTGTTTTATAGATTCATTTCACTACCAGGTCAAAAACACAATCAAAAACCCAACAAATGGGAATTTGTGGAATTGGAACAAAAAGGTAATTCTAAAGTTTTTATTTAAGTTTAACAATAATACTGAAGGAGAAGATAAAAGTTGAAACTTATTCTATTACATGTCAATATTTATTATAAAGATACAGTAACTTGTATGGTGTTGTATTGGTACAAAGACAGATTCACAGCCAAATGAATACCTGATTTTCAACATAAAGAGTACTACAAAGCACCAGGGAAAGAGGTGTATTTTATTAAGAAGTAAAATTATCCTAGAAGGAAAACAAAAGTTGGATATTAGAAATAGTTCCCTGCTCTGATACCCTATATATAGTAAGAGAGAATGAAACCCAAAAAGAAAAAAGCAAAGAGAAAGACAGAGGAAGAGAGAGAGAGAGAGAGAGAGAGAGAGAGAGATTTGATGACAATGTTTGGGTCCCAGGATGTATGTCTGAAGTTAGCATGACCTAATATTATGCATTCTCTATCACAACATTAGTATAATAAATATAGTCTTTTACTTGTCCACTATACTAGAGACCATTCCATAACTGGGACCAAATATTATGTTTACTAATTGCAGCTTAAGACAGTAAATTACAATGTAATGGTCTTAGTAATTCATTATTAATTAGTTAAATAGCTTTTCTTCCTAGGCACAAGAACATCAAAGCATAAATCCTTGGAGCATCAGTAATGACATCACTTAAGAGTTTCTCAGAATCTTAGGCACCACCCAGGCCTACTGGATCAGAATCTGCATTATTTAACAAGATCTCAGATAACTTACATGCGTATCAAAATTTGAGAAGTGCTGCCCTAGATGCCTTTGACATTAGTGCTCTCATTACTCTGGTCTACACCTCTGGAATTTAAGAACCCTTCTGTGAATCACTGATCACTGTGGGAATTCAGACACTCACCTATAACATGCTTATGTCCATCTTTAGATCTAGTCAAGAGCCCAGTCCGATTTCTATTTATTGGGATTGAGGATGATGTAACCAAGCTCAGGGACTTCTGGATACCACTGACTTCAGGTAACTCTACTAAAACAAACTTTGCATTTTTGATGACCTTAATGTTGACACACCCATAGAGAATGTGGATACCAAATCCTAATGGCCTTATTTGATATTTCTACAGTGGGATTTAGCAAATATTCTGATATTGACAGACTGAGTTGATATAGCAGTATCCATTGGGCCCTTTCTTTGTTTGGGCCATAGTCCTCTGTGAACTTTTCTTCCTTTCAAGACAGAGTTTCACTCTTGTTGCTCAGGCTAGAGTGCAATGGCATGATCTCAGCTCACTGCAACCTTTGCCTCCCGGGTTCAAACGATTCTCCTGCCTCAGCCTCCCAAGTAGCTGAGATTACAGGCACGCTCCCCCATGCCTGGCTAATTTTGTATTTTTAGTAGAAACCAACTTTCACTATGTTGGTCAAGCTGGTCTCGAACTACTGACCTCTGGTGATCCACCCACCTGTGCCTCCCAAAGTGCTAGGATTATAGGTGTGAGCCACTGCGCCCGACTCTTTCTTTTTATTAAATTTTTAGTAAGTTACAAATAAAACATATATGTTTCATTTATAAACCATATATATGGGCTGGGTGCATTGGCTTCGCCTGGAATCCCAGCACTTTGGGAGGCCGAGGTGGGTGGATCACTGGAGGTCAGAAGTTTGATACCAGTTTGGCCAACATGGTGAAACCCTGTCTCTACTAAAAATACAAATATTAGCGAGGTGTGATGGCAGGTGCCTGTAATCCCAGCTATTTGGGAGGCTGAGGCAGGTTGCAATGAGCCAAAATCACTGCACTCCAGCCTGGGTGACAGAGCTAGACTCCATCTCAAAAAAAAGAAAAAAATCACACATGTGTAGTATGATGGGTCCCCCACCAAGTTACTTAAGGGTTTATATCCAGTGCCTTAACCCTAAAGGCAAGGCAGTGAGCCAAGGCTATGGTGCCCAGCTGAGGAGCAGGTATCCCTGAGAACCCAAACATCCTGGAGAGTATCTGAGAACCTACCAAGACAAACAGTCTCATGGCTCAAACACCATAGCTCTTCGACCCAGAAAATTTTCTTAAAAGCAGCTTAGAGATGGGAGGCAGCGCAGATCTCTAGAGCTATCCTGTTGCCATCCAGAAGTCCAGGAGTGTCCTGTATACAAGTTCTAATAGACACATCTACTCATCAGGCTGTGCTTGTTCTAGTCATTTTTTGGTCTTTTGGCTTGCTCCTAATTTGAGGGAAGGTTTTTCTTGTTACAAAACACATTCAGTAAGTTCATAAATCTTTTTTTTTTTTCAGACAGAGTTTCGCTCTTGTTGCCCAGGCTGGAGTGCAATGGCAGGATCTTGGCTCACTGCAACCTCCACCTCCCGGGTTCAAGTGATTCTCCTGCCTCAGCCTTCTGAGTAGCTGGGATTATAAGCATGTGCCATCACGCTTAGCTAATTTTGTATTTTTAGTAGAGACAGGGTTTCTCCCTGTTGGTCAGGCTGGTCTTGACCTCCCAACCTCAGGTGATCCACCCGCCTCAGCTTCCCAAAGTGCTGTGATTACAGGCATGAGCCCCCACACCCTGCATGCTCGTAAATCTTAAATGTGCATTTTGGTGAGGTTTTACATACATACTTATTTGGGTAAGTACTGTCCAGGTGCTTATCTATGCCTCAAGTTGTTCTGCTATGCTCCTTCCAAGACAACTGCCTTTCCCAAGAGGTAACACCATTCTGCTTTCTGTCATTATAGATTAGCTCTGTTTTTAAAATTCATGCAAAAGAAGCCATAGAGTATAATTTTTGGTGTACTTTTTGTTCATCACTATGCTGATGAGATTCATCCATGTTGCTGTATGTTGTTACATGTAGCAATACCTTCAATGTACTTTTCTTTTCCTTTTTTTTTTTTTAAGACGTGGTTTTGCTCTGTCACCTAGAATAGGGTACAGTGGCACTATCCTAGCTCACTGCAGCCTCAAACTCCGGGGCTTAAGCCATTTTCCCACCTCAGCTTCCAGAGTATCTAGAATTACAGGCACAGTGTACTTTTTCTTAATGAAAGAAGTCCATTACAAAACATCTTAAGTCCTCAAAAGTTTCTCAACTTTGAATCCCTAATTATTTTATGCCAAACATTTCCCTTTTCTATATTCCTGTTAAAAATATTTGATGACTCATGATTTTTATTCGACTTCTTAGAAATCCAATGGTTGAGATTTAAGGGATTTTAATTGAATAAAATAGTACATACATTCCTTTAGAAGAACCCTTACCTTATGCAGTTCTTTCATCATTCCTAAAAGAGCTTTAATATTACAGTGATCTTGTTCGGTTTCAGTCCAATTAAGCAGCTGAGAGATAATGGCTGCTTTAAGCATCTGGACCAGCGGTCTCAGAGAAGATTCTTGCAAAAATGCCCAACACTTCCCTGGGGGTGTAAAATTAGCCATGATAAATATGATTTTCCTACCATCCCCCAAATCCCTCAGTTTCTACTGGGTTCTTTAATGTACAAAATAGATAATATTTTACATTTTTGATGGCATAATTTATAAATATCTTTTTAAGTACATCCTGGACAACACTTAATGCTCACAAATGTGGAATTTTTTTTCTCTTTTCAAGTATTATTAGAATTTTAAAAATCTCAAATTCAGGATTTGAAGAAATTATTTGATGACTCACATTTATGCCTAATTGATTGACTTCACAATTTTCAAACTGACAACTGTATAAGGTATCTATAAAATCTGAAAACATATAGGAGAATACAAAAACACAGACACACATATATAATGTCATCAAAGACATTTTTTATCTTTTCTTTTTTTGAGACGGAGTCTTGTTCTGTCGCCCATTGGCACCATCTTGGTTCACTGTAACCTCTACCTCCCGGGTTCAAGCAGTTCTGCATCAGCCTCTCGAGTAGCTGGGACTACACATGCACGCCACCACACCTGGCTAATTTTTGAATTTTTAGTGAGCCAGGTTTCATAATATTGGCCAGGCTGGTCTCCAACTCCTGACCTTGTGATCACCCATCTTGGCCTCCCAAAGTGCTAGGATTACAGGCATGAGCCACCACACATGGTTGGACATTTTTAATAAAAAAATGAAAAGATATTATCTATGTTTTTAGATTTTATGAACACCTGGTACATGGCCATGTAGTTTTAAAAATAGCCAATAATTATATTTTAATATTACTAGATTGCAACATGTATTTGAAATGTGGAACATTTAAATTCTCAGAACAATTATCAGAAAACAAATCCATATGATGTTAAAATACACTATCAAGCTAATATAATTAAAACAGTATTACCCAGATATATAAAAAGCAGACACAGAGAGATTCCATAAGTAGACTCAAATGCACATGAGACTTTAATATATAATAAATGTGGCATTGCATATTAGTGGGAATTAAAAAGATTCAGTACATGTGTGAGGAAAATTAGAAACTGATCTAGAAAAAAATAGTGTTTAACCAAGATAAACTTCATATGGATCAAATATTTAAATATAAAAATGAAATAAAAATTATAGTAAGAGGACAGGAATTATTTTAGTTATAATTTTTTAAGTATGACCCCAAATCCAGAAACCATAAACTATTAATATAGTAGGTTACATTAAAATTTTAAAAAATAATTATGCATGACAAAAATACCACAAAGTAAAAAAAAACATTTTTAATAGCCTAAATATTGTAATTCATATTATTGATTAAGGATTAATTGCCTTAATAATTAAAAATTTTCTAAAATTAAAAAAAAAATACTAACAACCAATGGGAAAAGAGCAAAGAAGGGAAAACAATAGCGAAACCGCTCTTACTTTCTTAATGGGAATTATAAGCCAGGGTTTATACAGAATTATGGTTTGTCATTGACTAGGGTGTGCTGGTGCACTTGAACCCACTTCAGCTCAGCTTTCCTGAGCTGAAAACTAACCCAGGGTCACACAGCACACTGAGCACCTGCTCTCCCATTGTTCCTACAGATAAATCTCTGACACTGGACCTTTTAACCCAAGAATTACTTAAGGCATTTTTCAGATCATGAATTCCAGCAGAATGGCTGACAGCAACTGGTCTGAAGACCCTCACCTAAGTAAGAACTGACTCAGCACAGGAATGTGGTTTCTTCATCGCCCTATCCCTGACTTTACCCCTCACTTCTCAACCAATCAGTGATCACCACACTTTAGGTCATCACCTGTGTCCAGCCCCCTTAAAAACCCCATCCACAAACCTCTTGAAGAGGCATATTTGAGGTTTCCTTTCATCTCCTCATTTGGTTGCCCTACAATTATTAAACTCTTCCTCTGCTGCAACTCCTACTGTTTCAGTGTATTGGTATGTTACTGTGCAATAGGAAATCAAACCTGGTGGTCCTATAATAAGAGTTCACAGAATATGATATACAAAGAGATCTGTGATATATGACAACCAGCACAACCTCACTCTTAATAAGAAAAATTCAACTTAAAATTAAAAGGTTTTTTTCTCAGAATGGCAAAGATTAAAGTTTGATAACATGGCCGGAAAGTATGCATATTGATACTCTCATAATCACTGATGAAATGTAAATTAATACATCCTTTGTCAGTACTGACAGGTTGCCCAACTCTAGGAGTGCAATTTATATAGACTACAGTGTGAATAACAACCAAGTTGGGTGACATGATGACCCTGATTCTGTAGAGGGTCATTTGGCAAAATATTTCAAAATTAAAGTTTACATACAATTTGACTCAGTGATTTTGCTTTCTGGAATTTTTCCTGCTTGTGTAAATTTATATATGTACAATGAAATGCTTCACACTAGAATATTCTTCAGCCATTAAATAGAATGAGGCAATTCTATACATTCTCTAATGGAATGATCTCCATGATATCCTGTTTAGTGAGAGAAAGCAAGTTGTGGAAGAGTAATAATTTGCTACCATTAAAAACAGAAAGAATACATTTGTATGTTTGTATATATAGAACATCTTTCAAAGGTTACACAAGAAACTAGAACTTGTAGCTACCTCTGGGAGGGGAACTGGGTGGCTTACATTTCATTGTACATATTCTCTGTACCTTTTTTTTTCTTTTTTTTGAGATAGGATCTTGCCCAGTCACCCAGGCTGGAGTGCAGTGGTGTGCTGATTGCTTACTGCAGCTGTCAGAGGCATTTGAACCAAAGCAACTGCATCTTGAATAGGGGTAGGTAAAATAAGGTTGAGACCTATTGGGCTGCATTCCCAGACAGTTAGGCATTCTAAATGACAGAATGAGATTGGAGATTGGCACAAGATATGGGTCATAGAGACCTTGCTGATAAAACAGCTTGCAGTAAAGAAGCCAGCTAGAACCCACCAAAACCAAGATGGCGAGGAGAATGACCTCTGGTCGTCCTCACTGCTACACTCCCACCAGTACCATGACAGTTTGCAAATGCCAGGGCAATGTCAGGAAGTTACCCTATATGATCTAAAAAGGGGAGGCATGAATAATCTACCCCCTTTTCAGCATATAATAAATAACCATAAAAATGGGCAACCAGCAGCTCCGAGGGGCTGTTCTGCCTATGGAGTAGCCATTCTTTTATTCTTCTACTTTCATAATAAACTTACTTTCACTTTACTCTATAGATTCTCCCTGAATTATTTCTTGTGTGAGATCCAAGAATTCTTGTTTGGGGTCTGGATTGGGACCCCTTTCCAGCAACACAGCCTTAAACTCTTGGGCTCAAGTGATCCTCCCACCTCAGGCTCCCAAGTAGCTGGGACCACAGGTGTGTGCCACCAGGTATGGCTGATTTTTAAAAAAATTTTGGTAGTCAAGGGGTCCACTATGTTGCCTAGCCTAGCCTCGATCTTCTGGACTCAAGAGATCCTCTCACCTTGGCCTCCCAAAATGCTGGGATTAAGGTGTAAGCCACAATGCCTGGTCCTCTGCATCTCTTAAGTGAAGGAGCCCAGGGAAATTTACCCCAAAATATAGTACCCTGGTATGCTGATTATCTTAAGTTAAAGGCCCTTTAAGGTCAGCAGATGCTGGAAGAGGCTTTTCTCTGACACTCCCTTATCTACCTTAAGACTGGACCCACCACAGAGAAAATAATTGCCTTTGATCCCATCTCTGAAATTTCATTATCTGTCACAGAGAAGATACTTTTTCAAAAGATAATGTCTTTTGACTGCCTCTTAGACTCATTTCAATTCTAAGGAGAATCATTTACAGGTTAATTTCTGTTTCCTGGGTTCACTCATTCTCCCTAATAATCATTTACTACTCTTCAAAAGAATTATCTACATTCCCTACCTCTCCCTCCTCTATGTAGAAGAGTATATAAACATCTATACCCCAGTGGGTTATTGGGTAATCATTGAACTTTCAATATTCACTAAAAACTATAAAAGGACATCACATAGTATTGAATAAAGTAAATAATAACACAAGGTTCAATGTTTGTTTTTTCATCATCGCTGATCTAAATGTCTAAAGTTTCAAAATAACATGAGCCAAAAATGTTTAAAGTATGGATTTATCTTGATTGAATACTTTATGGCTACCAAACTCTGATGTTAAAGCCACATCTAAGTCTAAAAACTACACGTGCTTTGTATGATAAGATTAATAATTATAATAGCTTTAGATTATTAATCTTTTCAATAATTCCCATGCCATGTTCTCAAATACATGTCTATTTTGAAATCTTCTATACAAAATTCACTACAACACTTCAGAGAGTGACTCTATATTGAGAATACAGATAAAGTTACATAAAACTTACTTAGGACTTGCAAAGATTGGTTACTCATTTCACACACAGACTTTGCAAATGGAACCACCAGGTTCTTCCAGTTCTTAGCGTCATGCATCACAGGACATTCTGGGAGCAGGAGGAAAACCGATAAAGCTTCTTGGTGTGGAGAACGGCACGGAAGAGCTCTGAGCAGATTGTCCTCGAGACACGTAGTTATCTGTGCTCAAAATAGGATTAGGGAACAGACGCAGGACATATTAGATACAGAGTATTGTGAAAAGCAAGCTATGAAATTAGGGATTTCACTCCACCATATTTCAGTTAGAATAAACACTTAGTCATTCTGAAACCTATTGATGAAACTCAATAGTGATGGAGTTACATCACTCCTTCCATCCCAAATGCCCCTGATGTGGTACATGAGAGCCATTCTCCTCATTTTATATCAGGCTGCCTGAAGAAAAAAAAGGAAATACTATGAGCATGCATATACGGAGTGAATTATGGGTTCAAAACTAATAAAAGCCCTTCGAAAGCAATGTTGTATACAGGTCACACTAGTATTCCTCCTTCTAGAAGGAGGAGCTATCCCCAGCTCCTCTCCTCCCCACACACAATATCCTTTTCTTTTTTTCTGTTTTCTCATATATCAGTAGATAAATTTTCAGAGCAAAGATAGCTCTAAATTTTTATATTACTTATTTCATTCAGAGGTAAAGTTTTGCCTCAGAGTGTAGTGGCTCAATCATAGCTCACTGTAGCCTCAAACTCCTGGGTTCAGGCAATCCTCCCACCTCAGACTCCCAAGTGGAGTGCATTGCCATACACAGTTCATTTTAGAAAATTATTTGTAGAGATGATGTCTCACTATGTTGTCCAGGCCAGTCTCAAACTCTTGGGCTCAAGCAGTACTCCCACCTTGGCCTCCCAAAGTGCTAGGATTACAGGCATGAACCACTGTACCCAGCCCAGAAGTAAACTTTTAAAATAGGACATATATAAAAACATATTAGTGGGAATAAACCTGTATGATATTATTTATACTTGTTTGAACACTCATTGAATACTTATGTCAGGTGATCTCATGTAAATCACTTTACTTTCTTATTGATAATCCTATAAAATAACTTTTGTTTTATTTGTTTTTACCTTGTTTTTACAGATGAGCAAGGAGTGACTCAAAGGAAGTTAGAGGAAAGAGATTACTCAACTAGAAGGTGAACATGGCAGTAGTAAAATCTACCATGGCAGAGAAAATGCCATATGTTCACCTTGCCAGTCATTTTTCATTTTCCTCCTAGGTTCACAGGAGGAAAGATGGCAGCCCCCCAGCTCCTGCAGTTAGACAGGGTCATGTGACTGAGTCCTAGCTCACCAATGTGAGAGAAAGTGATACGTGACACATTGAGGCCAGGCCATTAAAACCTCTCATGGGACCCTCCATACTCACTTCCGTCATCTGTTAGCCAACTCAAAAGACTGAGTGGAGGATTTTACTGCCCCAGGGCCTAGAGACGCTAGAAAGAAGCCCGAGTCAGCCCTGCATGAACCTGTGCAAAGTTGCCTTTGACCTCCAACCCTCATTGGACTAGGATGTTGGAAAATATTTTATTGTGTTAATCCACTGAGATTTGGAAGTTGTTTGTTACAGCAGCTAGTTGCATTTATTCAACCTAATAGATCTATGTTCTGGAATTACAGTGTCTGCCTCCCAAAAGGGTAAATAAGTGATATACGCAACAATAAACTGTGATGTACTATATATTGTTTTAATTACATTAAAATTCTTAAAATTTGTTTTTTCATATGTCTAGCAGAATATGGTTTCTGTGGAATGCCTGTAAGTGTTATGCTGAAAAACAGCATCACAATGTCAAATAACTCCAAGAAAAATAGGGTCAAAGAGATTTCTTTTAGTGTACGATGCCATAGAACCTTTGATTTCCTAATGTGTATTTCATGATTCCATAGTAGTATGCAGTGTTCTCAAAGTTGTTTCATCAAGAACCTTTTTTAATGGGGTTTTTCATGAAGCTACTGTCCCTTGGAACTCATGCTGGGAAGAGTACCCCAAATTATCTCCCATATCACCTAAATAAATTCATTTTAAAAATACACTTCATAATATTTGCTATTATCATTTCATCTTGCAAATGAAAATATTATTATATCTGCAACACATTAAGGAACACTTTCCCCCTTTCCCTTTCATGTATAAGGAACTACTCAGACCCAGCAAAATGGTATAAAGATTATTTTACTAACTGAAGATATTTAAGGTATGGTCAATACAGAAAGACACCTTTTGGGAGCTTCTTTTATCTAACTAATGCAGGGCTCTTCTAGAAAGAAGTTCTTGTACATCCTCCATTGTGGAGCTTCACTGCTAAAAAGGAGACCAATCATTCAGATCACTTGCATGTGGATGAGAAATTGCATAGACAAACAAACATTCTCATAAACTGTCATACCTTCCATTTGTCTCCATAAAATCCCATTTGTTCTTCCATAGGAGCCCTTTCTTCCTTCTCCCTTTCCTCCATCAATTTGGTTTATAAACTCTTATTCCTAGCTGTTCAGGGAGCTTCTTTATCTGAATGCTCCACATGCAATCGTGCAAACCTTATTTTTTTTCCTTCTGTGCTATAGGCTAAATATGTTCCCCAAAATTAATATGTTAAAAACCTAACCCCCAATATGATAGTATTAAGAGGTGAGGCCATGGCCAGGCACAGTGGCTCACACCTGTAATCCCAGCACTTTTGGGTGGATCACCTGAGGTCGGGAGTTTGAGTCTAACCAACACAAAAAAACCCCATCTCTACTAAAAATACAAAGAATTAGCCAGGCTAGGTGGTACATGCCTGTAATCCCAGCTACTTGGGAGGCTGAGGCAGGAGAATTGCTTGAACCTGGGAGGTGGCTGTTGTGGTGAGCCAAGATCGTGCCATTGCACTCCAGTCTGGGTAAAAGGAGCAGCAACACTCCATCTCAAAAAATTGGAGCTCTCATGAATGGCATTAGTGCCCTGACAAAAGAGAGCCCAGAGAGTGTCTTTGCCCTTTCTGCTGTGAAAGGAAAATATATCTTGGGACCTCAAAATCACTAAGCTAAAGGGAAAAGACAAGCTGGGACCTGCTTAGTGCAAACCTGCCTCCCATTCTATTCAGTTACCCCTCTGCTAACTGAGATAAATGCATATCTGATGCCTCTTTTGGAGAGGCTAATCAGAAACTCAAAAGAATAAAACCATTTTTCTCTTATCATCTACCAAAGACCAGGAAGCCGCCTTCCCTGCTTCGAGTTGTCCTGCCTTTCCAGGCCAAACCAATGTTCATCTTACATATGTGAATTGATGTCTCATGTCTCCTGAAAATCTATAAAACCAAACTGTGCTCCGACCGCCTTGGACACATGTCCAAGGATCTCCTGAGGCTGTGTGATGGGCATGTGTCCTCAACCTTGACAAAATAAACTTTCTAAATTATCTGACCTGTCTTAGATATTTGGGGTTCACACTGCCATGTGAGACAATGAAAATATCATCTATGAGCCAAAAAGTGGGCCTGCACCAGACACCAAACCTGATAGTACCTTGATCTTGGACTTCCCAGCTTCCAGAACTGTGAGAAGTAGATGTCTGTTATTTAAGCTACCCAGTCTACAGCTTCCTGAGCACTGAGGTATTCTGTTAATTATTAATATGCAGCGACCCCCTCCACCAACTCAAACCCGAGGCAGTACACAAAAAGCAAGTTTTCTTCCTAAGACAACCCAGAATCACAGAATATTAAACTGGAATAGATTTTAAAGATGAACTCAACAGGTAAAGAAAATGTGACCCAAAGAGAAGGGATGAGGTAGTAATAGAGATTCAACTCAAATAGATGTGAGTTTCATCTCAGAATAGAGAAGGGGCTTTTCAGTTTATCAGTCCAGGATAAGGTCCTGCTTCCCAAACCAACACTCTTTTCCTACATCATGGTAGAGATTATCCACCTCTCAAGCACTGCTCTTCTTATATTGAAAATAAAAATATTGTATCTATTGTACATTTAAGGGTTCATTGAGAAAATAAATGTCAGCCCCAATCATAAAACTACCTTTGCAAAAGTATGACAGTAAGAGAAATCTGACATGGTTGACTCTACCTTGCTGCCAGCCTCACAGGGTGGCTGTCTTTTCTCATTCTTGGGCATGAGCCAAGCTAACTTTGGGAGAAATTTAGTTTATAGTTTAAATTATAACGGCTGGTCCCAAAAACAAAATTGTTCTTGTAAAACTAATGAAAGCCCACCAAATTAGGATGAGAGGGGCTTGAATTCTAAATAATTACCAGCCATTATTCTGGAGGTTGTAAGATTTGCAACCCTCTCAATTATTCTTGCAAGTAACATCATTATTGTAGAACCTAAGCTTGGCCTTTTGAGATGTCACTTCAGGTTTTTGCATTTCTGACAACTGGATGACCCCACCTGGACCCACCAACCAGTCCTGTGCCCCCCCCCCCCCCGACCCAGAAACTGACTAGCACAAGAGGACAGCTTCTATTCCCTATGATTTCATCTCTGACTCAGCTGGTCAGCATGCTCCCTACCCTAGTCCCCTGCCAACCAAACTATCTTTGAAAAGCCCCTAAGCTACAAGCGTGAGCCTTCGGGGAGACTGATTTGAGTAATAATTCTATCTCCTACGTGGCATGGCCAGCCTCATGTCAATTAAACTCTTTCCTTACTACAATGTCATGGTCTCAGTGGGTCGATTTTTGTTTCTGCAGTGGGCAGGAAGAACCCATCAGGCAATTAAAATCATAGTCTCCTCTCATCCAGCTTCCAACAAAATTAAACTGCAATTGTATTTGTTCTATATCTCAAGTAAGTATTGGCTATTACCATGGAAGAAATCCATTCCTTTTTTGTTAACTTCTTGAAGGTATCTCTTGCCATTTCTAAGTCCACATCAATGGAAGTCGTTTCTCCAGTTCCTCTTTGGATACAAGAAATGCAAGAAACCACATAAACAGAGGGAAAGGGATATTTCTAAAGTTCATATGTCATTTGTTGTTTTATATTATTAAATATAAGATACAAACCTTTTTCTTATAGCTTGCCTTCTTTCAAAATAATCAACTTACATGACATATAATATATGTTCTCCTTGTTAAAAGACAGTAGATAACAATTTATTATCTCTATAGTGGCTACATCAAGTTTGGGCTGCTGTATTAACAAAATTTTATGTGCTGAGTCTGAGAACGGAAACCATCTGCCCCACACTCAGTTTGCACACCAAGAACTAGAACTACCTACCCTCCACCCTCCTTACCATTTATATTTACAGAACTTTGCAATGCCACTGTTTTTTTGTTTGTTTTTACTTTACTCTTCCAGGAAACTTTCGTCCAGGCAAATGGCAACTGTTCATCATGGGAACTTTCGAAAGATCCACTAACTCTTCAATGGAAAGTATCAACAGTTTATGCCCAAAAATATTTGAATCCCTTATCTCAAAATCCTTGCCTTGCTGTTTCCACCCATCCTGGATTGTTGTCATCTACCTAGTCCAGATCAAATCTCCAGCCTTCCTTCTCACATTGAAAGATCTCCTTAAACCAAACTCCCAATTGTCAATAAATTCTGACCTGGTTTTTCTTCTCAGAAACACTATCAAGGCCTTGTCTATGTGTACTGTTCTCTCTGGCCTGTCTTATCAACAAGTTATTTTAGTGATATTTGAGAGGACAGCATTCAATAAGCCTAACAATTTTAAAATAATGCATTATCAAATATTGTATGCCACCTGCAGTGGGTCATGCCTAAAATTCCAACACTTTGGGAGGCCAACGTGGGAGGATTGCTTGAGGCCAGGAGTTCAAGAGACCAGCCTGGGCAACATAGAAGAGACCTTGTCTCTACAAAAAAATAAAAAGTAAAAAATTAGCCAGTCATGGTGGTGCATACCTGTAGCCCCAGCTACAGGTGAGGCTGAGATGCGAGGATAGCTCAAGCCCAGGAGTTCAAGTCTACAGTGAGCTATGATCAAACTACTGCATTACAGCAAGGGCAACAGTGTAAGACTTCATCTCTAAAAATTTAAAAAAAAAAAAAAAAGGCCAGGCATAGTGGCTCATGCCTGTAATCCCAGCACTTTGGGAAGCTGAGGTGGGTGGATCACTTGTGGTCAGCAGTTCAAGACCAGCCTGGCCAATGTGGTGAAACCCTGTCTCTACTAAAAATATAAAAAAATTATCTGGGTGTGGAGGTACATGCCTATAATCCCAGCTACTCAAGAGGTTGAGGCAGGAGAATCACATGAACCCAGGAGGTGGAGGCTGCAGTAAGCCAAGACCATGTATGTCACTGAACTCAAGCCTGGGTGACAGAGAGAGACTGTCTCAAAAATATAAATGAAAATAATAAAAATAAAATTTAAAAAAAGGCTGGGTATGGTGGCTCACACCAGTAATCCCAGCACTTTGGGAGGCTGAGGCGGATGGATCACCTGAGGTTAGGAGTTCAAGATCAGCTTGGTCAACATGGTGAAACCCATCTCTACAAAAAAATATAAAAAATTAGCTGGATATGGTGGCACAAATCTGTAATTCCTGCTATTCAGGAGGCTGAGGCAGGAGAATCGCTTGAACCTGGGAGGCGGAGGTTGCAGTGAGCCAGGATCGCACCACTGCACTCCAACCTGGGCAACAGAGTGAGACTTCATCAAATAAATAAAGGAAATGAGTCAAGTGCAGTGGTTCACACCTGTAATCCTAGCACTGTGGAAGTCCAAGGTGGGCAGATCACGAGATCTGCCAGATCAGGAGATCGAGACCATCCTGGACAACATGGTGAAACCCTGTCTCTACTAAAAATATAAAATTAGCTGGGCGTGGTGGCTCCTGCCTGCAGTCCCAGCTACTTGGGAGGCTGAGGCAGGGGAATCACTGGAACTGGGGAGGCAGAGGTTGCAGTGAGCCAAGACCACACCACTACACTCCAGCCTGGCCACAGAGCAAGACTCCATCTCAAAAAGGAAGGAAGGAAGGAAGGGAGGGAGGGAGGGAGGGAGGGAGGGAGGGAGGGAGGAAGGAAGGAAGGAAGGAAGGGAAGGAAGGTTTTCTCTTTGCTAGATTAATTGATCAATAGTAATATTAGGGCTAAAATATTTATGCAAGTACTAAAACAAAGTATTATAAATTTCTCCCTTAAAATATATTCTCTTTTGTAGCCTTTGATATCTTAGGAGTTCCTCAGTCCTGGGAAGTAAGCATGGATACTTTTTCACATTAGGAAGATAATACTCTTCACATAGAAAAGATTTTTCCACATGTAGCAAGAATTAGCCTGAGGTGAAGTTGTTGGAATCCAAGTTCCTCTAGTCCCACAAACTGCCTGAGAATGCAGCTGGGTTAAGAACTAATGGGACTGCCACGGGGGTTAGACAAGGGCAAGTAATAGCAACAGGGGCTAAGTGAGTACCACCTAGTGGCCAGGAGTGGGTACAAGATGTGTATCACCATATTTTGAAACAGTGAGCAAATTTAAGGCCAAGTTAACAAGAGAGGGACAGGACCTCACCAGGCAAAGGAGAACCCATATGAATTACACGAGCTGCAGACAAATAAGCAAGGCATCGACCTCCAAAGAGGCAGAGGGCAGCCTAAGACCCCTTTACACTACTATTTCTCCTTCTTGTCTCTTTTACATCCAGGTGCCATTTTGGAGAACTTGGAGGAAGGAGCAGAAATAGAAGAGCTAAATATTGAGCATTAAAGGAATTGTTTAAACTATTGAATCAGACCAAAGGTTAAACCAAATAGAGCAAAATCAGATTTTCTTCTGTAGCAGTGAGTTAAAGACAACATAAATAAGATATATTTTTAATTGATCGTACACAGTAAAAATTGTAAAGTGTACTCTTGGCTGCTAAGTACTAAAGCAATGTGAGATTTAGTTGATCACTTGTATATACAGAGATCCTGAAAAAACACCATTCCTTGTAATTGGACAACAGAGCAAAGCAATATGAAGGAAGTAAACAATGTTAACTAGAAATTATAACTTATAGTGGTCTAACAGAAAATTACTTTATAAAATGAAAGAATTCTATAACAACCTACAAAGTTCTCTGTGTCGGACTCTGTAGGCAAGGATAACAAAAGTCACAAATTAAACTTACTTGAAACATATCATTTTACATATTTTCCAGTGTTTTAAATGAAGGTAAATCTTATGTAAATATTACCTTTTCTTTAAAAAACTCGCAGTCAGACAAGCAGGAGATGAAAATATCATTCTAACTTCACTGTAAAAGTAATAACAAGGGTTAAGTCACAACATACTATAAAGCATGCCTTTTAAATCTTAGTATGTCTGCAGCCTGGGTAACATGGAAAACCCTGTCTCTACAAGAAATACAAAAATTATCCAGCTCGACAAACATGGTGAAACCCTGTCTCTACTATAAATACAAAAATTAGCTGGGCTGTAGTGGCACGTGCCTAGAAACCCAGCTACTCAGGAGGTTGAAGCGGGAGGATCACTTGAACTCAGGAAGCAGAGGTTGCAATGAGCTGAGATTGCACCACTCCACTCTAGCCTGGGCAACAAGAGTGAAACTCTGTCTCAAAAAAAAAAAAAGAGAATGGGCTAGCAAAGAAATGAGAAATGGTAACACTGGAAATGTTAGAGATTGTGCCACTGCACTCCAGTCTGGTTGACAGAATGAGACTCTGTCTCAGAAAGAAAAAAAATTAGCCAGGCCTGGTGATGTATGCCTGTAGTTGCCATTGCTTGGGAGGCTGAGGTGGGAGGATCACTTAAGCCCAGAAGTTCAAGGCTGCAAAGAGTCATGACTGTGCCACTGCACTTAGCCTGGGTGACAAAGGCCCTATCACAAAAAACAAAAAAAATCTTATAATGTCTGAATAAGTAAATGATGATGTGGAATCATTATTAATGAGGATAACTACTCTCTTAAGAGTCTCCCAAATCCTGGGTATACTTTGTTCATATTATTTCTAAATCTCACCAAAACCCTTATAGTTGATTTGTTCAATTCATGTAGGTTTAAATAAAACCTATCCCTGTGAGGACTAAAACTCATAAACTCCAAAGGGTGAACTATGAATATATGAAAACAGTCCACCTTATTGAAGGCTTTGTAAGCTTTTTCTCTCCTGCAACTTCCTCACCAATAGCACCTGGGATATCACATGTCCTCCATGTATCTGTAAATGAGTACATCAATGACCTAGTGACATTAAGAGGCTGTAGAAGAGGATCATGGTCAAAATACAAATACCTTCACAATTAAACCAAACCCTCTTTCTTAGGATAAAATGACCAAGGCCTCAGAACCAGATAAGAGCAGCTTATAATTTATCAGACAGAGCCACCTTTTAGCCACTTCATGTTCAGTACTTCTTGTTTTCACTGCTATCCATTTTTCTGCCACGGACTGGGTAATTCGGCTTATTTCTGGCAGGGTTTTCCTGGGAGCACTTGTGGAACTAGTATCCTTCCGGAAAGGAAAAAAGAATGATCAGGAACACACACACATGTTGAATAGTAAATTATACAGTAAATCATCTGGCATGGGTGGTTAATAGGCATTGTCCTCTTGGGTGGTAGCATTTGGTGGGAGGAGCTTTGGTGTCAAATGGGTAGGGCTATTCCACCTCCTAGCCTGGGCCACTTTGCTTGGTCTGAGTCTTAGTTTCAACATTAAAAAATATATGTATATATTAAACACAGGGCTTCAAACAGATACTTGTAAATAAATATTCATTGCAGCATTATTCACAATAGCCAAAAGATGGAAACAACCCATGTTCATCAACAGATGAATAGATTTTTAAAATATACATACAATGAAATATTATTCAGCCTAAAAAAGAAATGAAATTCTGGCCGGGCACAGTGGCTCATTCCTGCAATCCCTGCACTTTGGGAGGCCAAGGCAGGCGGATCACCTGAGGTCAAGGAGTTTGAGACAAGCCTGGTCAATGTGGTGAAACCTCGTCTCTACTAAAAATACCAAAAAAATTAGCCAGGTGTGGTGGCAGGTGCCTGTAATCCCAGCTACTCGGGAGGCTGAGGCAGGACACTTGAGCCTGGGAGGTGGAGGCTGCAGTGAGATGAGAGCATACCATTGCATTCCAGCCTGGGTAACAAGAGTGAAACTCCGTCTCAAAACAAAACAAGCAAACAAACAAACAAACAAACAAAACCACAATGTGGATGAATTTTGCAGACAAGTGAGTAAAATAAGCCAGATGCAAAATAACAAATATTGTATGATTCCACTTGTATGAAGTATCTAGAATAGGCAAACTCATAGAGACAGAAGGTAGATTCAAGATTGCCCAAAGCTGGGTGCGGAGAGGGGGTATGGAGAGTTGTTATTTCATAGTTAGAGAATTTCTGCTTGGGGTGATGAAAAAGTCTTGGAGATGGATAGTGGTGTAAGTTGAATAATACTGTGAAAGTAATTAATGTCACTGAATCATATACTTAAAATGATTAAAATGGCAAGTTGTATTTATATATATTTTATCACAATAAATAAAAAGAGATAATAATACCTACCTCTCTGGGTTCCTGTTAAGATGAAATTATAGTGGGCATACGAAGCTTTGAGATTATAGTAGGCACTCAATAATTAGTTTCATTGTTCCCTTTAATCACCCACAAGTGTTTACTTTTATATAAGTAACTCTCAAATTGTAATGTGCATATGAATCACCTGGTGGGAGATTCTGGTGGGCTTGTTAAAGCAGATTGCTGGGCTCCACCCCATAGTTTCTGATTCCGTGGGTTAGGGTTGAGCACAAGAATTTGCATCTAACAAATTCTCCAGTGATGCTGATGGTGCTGGTTTGGGGACCACACTTTGAGAACTATCCTTCTATATAATACTTGAGACCAAATAGCCCAGCCAGAAGTTTCAAAAATCACTGTCTGGAAAGAAAAATCCATCTTCAATATAGTCTTCCAGAGGCATTAGCGCTCTGTTGTAACTTATACCTATGCCTCTACTGCACTTGTTATGAGCCAGGAAATTATGCATTGTTTTGGTTTAATGCTGAAATAAAAGACCTCTTGAAAAAGACAGGTAACCATGGCTCTTAAAGTTCCCTTCAGCTTCTTGATCTGAGTCCTGGGCTTTCTCTGTAGTTTGATCAAGAGGAAGAGTTTTTTTCTTCCCACATCCCAGGAAACTTGGGACAATGAGGCGCTCCCTCTTGACACTTACATACCATTTCTTTATTTGCTGCTTCAAAATCCCTGTCTCCTCCCAAATACACGGCATGAGACTATGTCATTTGCCTCCTCCTCTTTTGTAACCTTCCCCCAATGTCCTGGTCACTCCCTTTAGTTCATTGAAGGCTTCAGCACCTTGCTGACTATCTTCCTCACACCATGATTCCCAAGGTCATCCTTCCTGCCCTCACTCTTGGTAACTTCAGAATTGATGAACATTATCTCCCACCTTCATCTCTCAATTCTTAATTATCTCCACTCTTCCTCTGCTCCACCCCAGCCACACATGCCCTGGATCAGGGTTTCTAAACTGACACTATTGATATTTTAGGTCAGAAGACTCTGCTGTGATCAGCTGTCCTGTGTATCAAAGGATGTTTAGCGGCATCATTCCAGCCTCTGCCTACCAGATGCCAGTAGCAACCACTTCCAGTGCCATGCTCTCCCCTAGTTATGACAAACTACAGTGTCTTGAGACATTGCCAAATGTTTCCTGGAGCACAAAAATCACCCTTAGTTGAAAACCACTGTGCTATAGGTGAGAAGCTGGGTTTTATAATCATGAATTGTTCCATCTTCTAAATTTCTACTGGAAATATTCTCTTCTCTGACCGTCATACACCATCTTTCAGATTCACCTCCTTTAGAGTAAAGTCCAAGATTCTTCTGTGTACCGGGATTGCCAATCCATTAGCCCTGTTGTTTGTCCACAATACATCACCCTCCTTCATCTTCCTTACCCAGCTTGGATTCCATGGTTCATCACTATAATCACACCTATAACTCTTCTGTCCATTTTCTATTGTACTTACCTAGCAAAATTCCGTCTGTAATTAAACTTGACTCTGGATTACTCCAAAATCCAACTGAAGCAGCCTAACAACACTGTAGAAAGCTGCACAACTGTGCAGAGTGATTGGACTTTAAGTCTGTGACCACAGCTTTCAAATGGGCACCTGATACTGTCTAATCAATTCCAAAGCTAACTGCTTTTTCCCTCTCTAAGACAGCTATTGCAACCCTTCCTTTTCTTCCTAAACCTTTCACTCTCCTCTGCTTGCTCATGCTCAGATGGGGACCTTGCCTCAGGCATCACTGAAAATTGAAGCAGTTAAGCAAGAACAAATCACCTTCCCACCATCAACATACCTTCACCTGTACTGTTCCTTATTACAGCATAATAGATATATCTGTTCAAACCCTTCAATTATGCATTAGATTCTGCTTCCTCTCTCCTACTCTCAGACATTGCTTCTACAATTACGAACTCTTATGCAGCATCAGAACCCCGCCCATGGTTCTCTACTCCCCTTCACATCGAAATTTCTCAGGGTTGTCAAAGGCATTGTTTGCACTTATTCCCCTTCTATTCTCTGTCCAGCCCACTTACGTCAGGTCTCCTCCTCTTCTCTCTGCAATAACACAATCTTACCAAAGCAAAAATAAACTGTGCGTGCCTCTTACTTGACCACTCAACTGTATTTGACAGAATTGGCCACTTTCTCCTGGAAATACAGCAGTCCCCCCTTATCCATGGGGGATGTGTTCCACCAAGACCCCCAGTGGATGCCTGAAACTATAAATAGTACCAAACCCCATATGTTTTTCCTATTCATCATAGATATGATCAAGTTTAATGTATAAATTCAGCACAGTAATAGATTAATACCAATAACTAATAATAAAATGAAATAATTATAACAATTTACTGTAATAAAACTTATGTAAATGTGGTACCCCTCTCTCTCAAAATAGCTTATTATACTGTATTCACCCTACTTCTTGTGATGAAGGGTGGATTTCATCACACCATCCAGAAGATGTGATTTAAAACTTATGAGTTATTTCTGAATTTTCCATTTGATATTTTTGGACCACAGTTGAATGTGGGTCTGAAACTGTGACAAGGAAAACTGTAGATGAGAAGTACTACTGAGAGCCAGGCGCAGTGGTGCACACCTGTAACCCCAGCACTTTCCCAGGCCAAGGTGGACAGATCACTTGAGCTCAGGAGTTCATAGACCAGCTGGAGAAACATGGCAAAACCCTGTCTCTACAAAAAAATACAAAAGTTAGCTGGGCATTGTGGTGTGCACCCTAGCTACTTGGGAGGCTTAGGTGTGAGGATGGCTTAAGCCTAGGAATCTGAGGCTGCAGTGAGCTGAGACTCCAGCCTGGGTAACAGAGTAAGACCCTGTCTAGACAGACAGACACACACACACACACACACACACACACACACACACACACACACACGGAAGGACCTCTGTACAGGTGCTTTCTCTCTTGGCTTGCGTGGCCAGCCTCTCCTGATTTTCCCTTCTTCAGAAACTGGTCCTTCTCAATCTTTTTTTCTGGTTCCTCTTCCACTGTCTAACCTCTAAAGGAGAAGTTCCTCATTAGAGGAATTGTGTCCCCCTTCTCTTCTCATTTTCACTCTCTCTCTCTAGGTGAGCTTTCATCCAGGTCCCTGGCTTTACATCCCATCTATGGGTTGATAACTGCTGTGTTTGTATTCCACTGCCAGCATCCTCCCTGAGCCCCACATTCAGATACCCAGCTCAGTCTCTAGGTCTCCCTTCCAAACACATTTCAGGTGGGTCGCCTCACATAGCTGGCCCCATCTCACAGAACTGGCTCTATCTCGTAGAGCTCCTTGTCCTTTCTTGCTACGGTTCTGCCTCACTGGCCTTCTGTCATACACACCAAACTCAATCTTGCCTCACAGCCTTTCTGCGTGCCATTCCCTCTGCTCTGTGCATTCTTTTTCTGGACCTAAGCATGGCTAAAATCTCTGTTCAATGGTCACAGCCTCTACAAGCCCTTTCCTGACAGACATTTCTAAAGAAGCCCACCACGACAATCTCAAATGATCGATGTCTTTTCTTCAGAGTACTTATCACTGTCTAACAGTTTTTTTTCGAGATGGAGTCTTCCTCTGTGCCCCAAGCTGGAATACCCCAAGCGGTGCAATCTCAGCTCACTGCAACCTCCACCTCCTGGGTTCAAGCAATTCTCCCTCAACGTCCCAAGTAGTTGCGATTACAGGCTCATGCCACCATGCCCAGCTAGTTTTTGTGTTTTTACTAGAGATGGGGTTTCACCATGTTGGCCAGGCTGGTCTTGAACTCTTGACCTAAAGTGATCCACCTGCCCCTGGCCTCCCAAATTGTTGGGATTACAGGCATGAGCCACCGTATCCGGCCTCTAATACAATCTTATTTATTTTGCATTTACGTATTTATGGTCCAGACTTGCCTGTGGAGTTGGGGACTCAATGATGCAACCCTTGCAACAGAGGACAGCTGAGACGCTGCACGCCACCCCTGCCACACACACCCCTATAAACTCGCACACATGGCCTTCCTTCCACTCAAGGAGGCATTCCCTGTAGGACATCTCAGAAACCCTTCCTTGACAGTTCTGGACAGGGAAAATTCAGTTCCCTCATGAAGATGGAAACAGCTGCTGTTGATAGAAGTTACATTGGTATGCACATTTACATGATACAAATTCAATATACACGCTTGCCAATAAAGAAAAAAGAAATCTGAAATGGTGGTGGTGGGGTCTAATCTGTTAGGAACGTTGACAAATAAGGATGTGAGAATTATGTAGTATTTTTTTATAAGCATTTGAATATAGGACCTTAATTTTTTTAGTAAAACACCTGAATATATATGAATAATACAGTATTTCAAATACTGCTGTGAAATCTTGAAAAAAATAATTTTAAAAGGAACAAAAAAAATATGATACCTGATGAGTTGTCACAAAGTTGGCATATTTTCCAGCAAAAATGTGTTTGACTTGAACATCCACGAGGTCTAAAAGAAAGTCATAAATCCACACTTAGAGTTTTTAGAAATAAAAAATAAATCTGATATATACATCAAGCCAAATATACTCACTTACCAGCAATTTATGTTCTCCTAAATGGATTTTGACTACAAACACACAAAAGAACAATTTTTTCTTTTTCTTTCCCCCATCATATTGCAAAGAAAGATCAGTTTTGATCAGATTACATGTCATATATTCACTTAGTCTAAAATTTAGGTTTTCATGCACTTGCATAATGCAGCCAGGTGGCCATGCTTTACAAGATATTTGATTAAATATATAAAAGTATATTGTTCTGGTTGCTTCCTTACTTTCTTAATAAACTTGCTTTCACTTTGTGGGAAAAAAAGTGTATTGTTCCAATGCATAAGTAATCAGGTTAGGATCTTCTTCTGTATTACCTTAATCTTCTTTAATTAATGAATTAATTAATTCATTTATTGAGATGGAGTCTTGACCTGTTGCCCAGGCTGGATGATATCAGCTTAGTGCAACCTCCATCTCCTGGGTTCAAGTGGTTCTCCCGCTTCAGTTTCCCGAGTAGCTGGGATTACAGGCTTGCACCACCACACCTGGGTAATATTTGTATTTTTAGTAGAAATGGGTTTCACCATGTTGGCCAGGCTGGTCTTGAACTTACCTTAATCTTTATAAATGATTACCAGATACCCTAAGATTCACTGCATAAGAAAAAATGCACAATGTACACATATAAAATAAAAGTACTAGGGGAACTACAGTTCTGTGGGATCCTTTGAAAGGAAGCTGAATACTAGTTCTCCTCCAGTGGCACTGATGAACAAAAATCATGAATCAGTGGGACTCATACCATCAGCAGAAATCAAGCATCTAATGTCAAAGTTCTCTTTCAGGGCCTCTGGATGAGTTGGCTTGCTTGTGTCACTTGGTCCATGACCAAAAGATACCACCTGACCAGTGGTGTGCACATATGCAATGGTGTGATCACTAGAGAAGAGAGAATATACCATAATGAAGACTGAGGCACTCATGGCTTTTGAGAAAGATGATGTCCCTTAACACAAAATAACAAACACAGAAAACCAGTTTACTTTTACTAAGTACCCAGTTCTCTTATCACAATGTCAGTATTAGAGGCCATCAAAGGATGTGCCTAAACAGATGGTGAGTCAACATTAACTTACTACTAATCTTAAAAATAGAATGTTATTGATGGGTCTTTACTATGGTTTCTATCATTGCGTTTTAATTGCAGGCATTTCTATGTATATATATTTTTGTAATGCATTGGGTAGATATTTAAGCACTAAAAGTGTCCTTATAATTAGGTTATGCAGAACTCTGAATATATATGCAAATATACATCACCTTCCGCACACATGAGATTACATTAATTTAATTTTGTCTCATCAACTTAAGCAGGAAAGCTCTGCGATTTTTACCAACCTACTTCCCATCCTCCAGCATCTGGTAAGATGTTCTATACACAGTATAACTATTTATAATTAGTAGAACCAATTATTTCTTATTAAATAAATAAAATATCTAGAATAAAGATGAAAAACAGAAAAATTAAACTATATTTGAAACAAGTAAATTTTCAGGCAGGAAAATGCTCTCTAAAAAGAGCAGCCATGTATTTTGGGTTTTAAGGTTTGATAACATTCTATATGGGTCATTTCTAAGTAATAAAATATAACACTTTCTACACATGCAGAGCAAAAAAGAAGAAGTCTATTACCCTCCACAATCTATCTGTGAAACTAGGCCATCAATTCTTTCCACAATTTGTGGACCTCTCTTCTTAGGAGTGGGGTTGTATCCCAGCTGCCCAGAGCTATTGTCTCCAAATGTGAACACTTTCCCATCCTGTTTAGGAAAGAAAGAACCAAATTAATTTCAGGTTTAAAAGGGTAACTAAAAGCTTACTGATTTAGTATCATACGAGAATTAATATGGGAGCACTCTGTGAAACACAAGGTCTACATAAATAGGAGAGATCCTTTATTCTTTCTAATAGTGTTATGTCAAGTTAACACATTAAACATGAAAAATCACTGGGGTTAGGCACAGTAGCTCACACCTGTAATCCCAGCACTCTGGGAGGCTATGGCAGGAAGAGTGCTTGAGGCCAGGAGTTTGAGACTAGCTTGGTCCAAATAGCAAGACCCCATCTCTACATAATATTTTTTAATCATTAGCATTTCCTTAAAAACTAGACACCATGATGATGTATTGTACAGCATGGTGACTACAGTTAATAATGTGTTTCATATATGAAAATTATTAAGAGAAGGCCGGGCATGGTGGCTCATGCCTGTAATCCAAGCACTTTGGAGGCCAAGGCGGTGGATCACCTGAGGTCAGGAGTTCAAGATCAGACTGACCAACATGGTGAAACCCCATGTTTAAAAAAAAATTTTTTTTTTAATTTTTAAAAATTAAAAAAAAGAAAAATTTTTTAAAAATTTAAAAAAGAAAAGAAAATTACTAAGAGAGTAGATCTTAAAGATTCTAACCACAATAAAAGATAACTATGTGAACTGATGCATATGTTAACTAGCTTGATTGTGGTAATCATTTCACAATGTACACATGTATCAAAACACCACATTGTACAGCATAAACATATATAATTTTTGCTAATTATACCATAATAAAGCTGGAAAAAGAAATGATTAAGTACTTAATAAGTCTTTATTAAATGAATAGATGGACAAATTAACTGGTTCAAGAATAAACCCAAGATTTAAGAATGAGGTTGAATTTATTAGAGCATTTTCCTGAAATACTGTCTTCCCAAAAGATGATTCTATGATTACAAACAACTCTAGCTTTCTCTTTACAACTAAGAATAATATAATCCAAACAATCAAGGGTTTTCTAATTTAAGATATGCATTTAAAACAAACAATAAAAATAATTGGGGGCATATAGTTTTTAAACAAACATTACAACTACACAGGTAGTTTTCAAGTCTATTCTTTATGGCTCCAGAAAGAATCCATCCCTTTGGAATAGAGTGTATGGCGAGAACAAGAATGGGAGGAAAACATTCAGGAAGCTGGGTCGTAATTATGCCAAGCAAGAAATGAAATGAAGTATGTTCTAAGCTGTAAAGTGGGTTATTGAAAACTATAAAAATTACTTTGTTGCTTCTATAATAATTTTTATCTGTAAATCACCTTGTCAGTGAATAATTGCTAAAGGGGCTGGGCGCAGGGTGACTCACACCTGTAATCCCAACACTTTGGGAGGCTGAGGTGGGTAGATCATCTGAGGTCAGGAGTTTGAGACCAGCCTGGCCATCATGGTGAAACTCTGTTTCTATTAAAAATACAAAGATTAGCTAGGTGTGGTGGTGTGCACCTGTAATCCCAGCCACTTGGGAGGCTGAGGCAGGAGAATTGCTTGAACCTGGGAGATGGAGGTTGCAGTGAGCTGAGATCGAGCCACTGCACTCTAGCCTGGGCAACAGAGTGAGACTTTGTCTCAAAAAAAAAAAGGAATAATTGCTAAAAGGAATTAGTTTCTGTATTAACCTAATTTTTTTTTTTTTTTGAGACAGAGTCTGGCTCTGTCGCCCAGGCTGGAGTACAGTGGCGTGATCTCAGCTCACTGCAACCTCTGACTCTTGGGTTCAAGCAATTATCCTGCCTAAGCCTCCCAAGTGTCTGGGGCTACAGGTGCCCACCATCATGTCCAGCTAATTTTTGTATTTTTAGTAGAGATGAGGTTTTACTATGTTGGCCAGGCTGGTCTGGAACTTCTGACCTTGTGATCCGCCCACCTTGGCCTCCCAAAGTGCTGGGTTTACAGGCATGAGTCACCCCACCTGGCTATTAACCTAATTTAGTAGGTATCTAAAGATACTTCCTAAAGCTGAAATTAGCTTATCTTATAGAATCTTGAAAACCTTATGATTTATATTTGGTTTCCATTTCCTCTTTAGATATGTGTACACTGAATGGCTATGTCTAGATTTTGGTATACATATCTTATGCTACACTCTGAATGTTTGTGTCACCCCAGAATTCTTATGTTGAAATTCTAACCCTCAATGCCATTATATTAGGAGGAGGGGCCTTTGATGGATGATTAGGTCACGAAGGTAGAACCCTCGTGAATGGGATTAGTGCCCTCACTGAAGAGGCCCAGGTGGGACTCCTCACCCCTTTCACTATGTGAGGACACGGTGAAAATATGGTATCTATGAATGAGAAGTTTGGCCCTCATCAGATACCAAATTTGCTGGCACCTTGATTTTGGACTTCCTAGCCTCCGGAACTATGAGAAATAGATTTCTGCTGTTTACAAGCCACTCTTTTTGTGGTATGTTGTTATAGTGGCCCAAATGGGCTAAGGTCTCTGGCTTTCCACATTAATTAGTACATGTACCTTGTTAACATTTCTCTGTAACTTAAAAACATAGCAACACATTTTGGATTACCTGACTAAGCACGGCAGTGTGCTCATCACCACAGCTGATATAAATCACACCTAGATTCTTCAGTGCACCAATTGAGAGAGGTTTGTTGCTTTGCACTGTCGAGACAAAGCAGAATTTCTAGAGTGTAAGAAGCAGACTGAGATTTCATGAGTATTTACATTTTAATACCTTTTTATATTTCATATTTTTACATAAAAGATCTTTTATTATTCTTATAATTCACTAACATAGTTTGCAGATTTCATGACTATATATTTAATACCTTTTTATATTTTTATGTAAGTGATATCTTTTATTATTCTTAAAATTCATAACAAAATTTAAAAGTAAACAATTCTAAGTATAAAACAGAGGAAACACCCTACCTTGAGAAAGAAAAGAAGAAATGCTCCTTTAACATTTATTTCTGGAAGCTATCTAATCTTCTGGAATGCTCAAGGCTATTGACCTAGAAGCTAAACTGCAAGACCCTCACGCCTGATACTACTGCCATCGTGTTGTATTAATTTGTCAACCTAAAATAACAACAGAGAGGCTCTCTAAAAAGTTTATTTGGAATGAATGACAATGGGATTACAATCCAGGATATGCATGCCATAGCAGGCCATGGGCATAGCTGGGGAGGCTGAGGCAAGGGGCAAGTTTTAAAGTACACGTAGGTTATTTTGCAACAGAAGTTCATTGGTTACAAGGACTTATTGCAGGCAGTGACATGTGTACTGGCCATTGGTAGAAGAGAGACTTCACAGAATCCACCCTGACTGCAAGGTTGCCATTTCGTAAGGTTACTTGCAAGGCTGCAGTTAGGAAACACTGTTACTGGAAAGATGTCCCATAGAAGTGGTCTTAGCTACAAGGTTGTGGTTTTGGTAGAGTCCTCTGAGATAGTTCTTATTATCAGGTGGATCGGTGTGAGGATCCTCCCCTCATGACCCCTGCCCTCCAACTCCATTTTATTAGGATTTGAAATAAGTGACTCCATATTGATTCTGACCATTTTGACATATTTCTGTCACATGATAGGTGCTCTGCAAATGTATCATAAAAATTGAGATGATAAGAAAAGCTGGCTAGGCATGGGTGTCTCATGCCTGTAATCCCAGCACTTTGGGAGGTTAAGGCATGTGGATTGCTTGAGCGCAGGAGTTCAAAACCAGCCTGGGCAACATGGTGAAACCCCATCTCTACAAAAAATACAAAAAAATAGCTGGGTGTGGTGGCATGTGCCTGTGGTCCGAACTACCTGGGGGGCTGAGATTTCAGTGATCTCAGATCATGCCACTGCACTCCAGCCTGGGCAACTGAGCAAGATTCTGTCTGAAGAAAAGAACAGAAAAAAAAGAAAAGAAAAGAGGAGAGGAGGGAAAGGAAAAGAGGCTAGGGGAGGGGAGGGGAGGGACGGGGAGGGAGGGAAAGGTAGAAGAGAGGAGGGGAAGAGGAGGGGAGAGGAGGAGAAGAGGAGGGGAGGAAAGGGAAAGGGAGGGGAAGGGTGAGGAAGGGAGGGGAGGGAAAGAAAAAGGAAAGAAAGAAAAACTTAGCTAATGCTGAAATGGTGAAGTGAAACAAGGTATAAGTGCTCAGCATGGGACTGACACATGTTAGGTGCTAACTGTATGTTAGCTGAATGTAAGGAATTGATAGAAGAGGATAGTTTGTGGGGAGCACATCTTGATGAGTTTTGTGTTCAGAGGAACTGGTTGTTTAGAGAAGTTTTCTTTTGTCTAGAGGAACTGCTTGTTTCACCTAATGTTAGCAGTCTCCCAGTACAGCAATTTCTAAACTTTGCTTCACACTGGAATCACCTGTGAGGTCGCAAATGATAACTGATACTTTAATAGGTATGGGGCCTGACCCGGGCATTGAGATTTTTAAAGGATCCTACCATAGGCAGAATAATGGCCTCCCAAAGGATAATGGTCTCCCAAAGAATAATGGCCTCCTATTTCCTCATCCTAGAGCCTGTAAATATGCTAAGTTACATGCCAAAGGGAAGTTATGGAAACAGATGGAACTAAAGTTGCTAATCAGTTGACCTTAACACAAGTGAGATTCTGCTGGATTATCTAGGTGAGCACGCTGTAATCACAAGGGCCTTTTAACTGAGGAAGAGGGAGGCAGAAGAGTCTATGTGAAAGTAACAAGACTTGAGAAAGACTTGATCAGCCATTGCTAGCTTTGAAGATGAAAGAGGTCTACGAGTCAATTAATGCAGGTGGCCTCTAGAAGCTGCAGAAGGCATGAAAATGGATTCTCCCCTAGAGCCGGTAGAGGCAGGCAACCCACTAACACCTTGACGTTAGCCCAGTGAGACCTGCGTCAGAATTCTGACCTCCAGAACTGTAAGATAATACATTTGTGTTGTTTTAGGCTGCTAGGTTTGAGATGATTTGTTACCACAGCAACAAGAAACTAATATAGCTCCCTAGGCTATTCTAATGTGTCGCAAGTTTGGGAACCACTGTTTTAACCATTGATACTGCCCTTTGCCAAGTTGGTCTTCCACCTGGAAAGAAAGAATGATTTATTGCACAAACAAGACTATCTCCTTACCTTGGACGTTACGCCCACTGAGGGCCAGCTGCCCTGCACTGTTACTTCCCCAGCCAAACGAAGTCCCACAGAGAGACAGGGCAAAGCTGTGAGCCCCTCCAGCAGCCACCTGAGCCACTGGGATCCCCTCCAGGGACCTCACCCTCTGAGGGCTGGCTTGGGAGGACAACTCCTTCCCCAGGCCCAGCTGCCCATGGCTGTTCTTTCCCCATGAAAACACTTGGCTATCTACAAAAACAAAGAAGAGAAATTAAGAATTGTACACATATTAGAATACTAAATTCAAATAGAAACTACTAATTCTATAAATCTTTTTTGTGGCTTTATTGAGGTATAATTTACAAATAAAAATTTTATATACTTAAGGTATATAATGTGATGTGCTGAAATTCACAAACATTGTTAAATGATTGTCACAATGAGCTAATTAACATATCCATCACCTCACACAGTTACTTTTGTGTGTATGTGTGTGGTGAGAATACTTAAGAGCTACCCTCTTAGCAAACTTCAAGTATACAATGCACTATTATCAACTATAGTCACATGGCTGTACATTAAAAACTTATTTACCTCACAACTGAAAGTTTGTACCCTTTGACCCACATCTTCGCATTTCCCCAAGCCCCCAGCCCCTGGCAACTACCTTTCTACTCCCTGATTTTATTTAATTTGACTTTCTTAGATACCACATCTAAGTGAGACTGTGTGGTATTTGTCTTTCTGTGTCTGGTTTATTTTACTTAGCATGATGTCCTCCAACTTGCAAATGGTAGGATTTCCTTCTATTTCTATTCTACTTCTATTTAATGTTACAAATCTTTACACAGTAAAACAGAGATAAAGAAAAAAATGAGATGAAAGTATTCCAAATAAAGGCAAGTCAGGTGGTCAAGGTCACCTTCAAATGTCCCTTCAAACAATGTCTACTCTTCTCCCTCCTAGTTAAGGGCAACTGTGTTCTTTCAGCTGCTCAGGCCACAAATCTTAGAGTCATCCTTAACTCCTCTCTTTTATACTCTTCAACCCAGCAAATTCAAAACTTCTGCCTTCAAAATCTATCCATTTCTCATCTCTCCACTGCTACCACCTTAGCTAAGTCACCAACATTTCTCTACTGGAGAATGACAATAGCACCTCACTGATCTCCCCAAGGCAATCTTTGCCCCCAGGAGTTTGTTCTCCAAAGAGTAGCCAGAGTGATCCTTTTAAAAATATAAGTCCAATCAAATACTTCAGGAGCTTGCTATCTCACTCAATGAAGGACTGAGTCCCATCACAGGCCCCACATCACCGTTCTGGCCCACCCCCACTTCCCAGACTTCATCTCCCCCTGCTCACTCCTCTCTAGACCCTTTGCTATTCCTGGAGTACACTTCAGAGCATGCCCTGATCTTATGGCCTTTGTGTCTGGATCATTCTTTCATGGTTAGCATCTCAACTTTCTCCCTCCCTTTTCATATGGTCTCTGCTCATATGTCACCTTATAAGAGATATCTTCCCTGACCACCTTATAAAATAGAAAGGCCCCTTCTCTCCACGCAGGTACTCACTCTCTGTCCCCTTACTCTCTTTTTTTTTTTTTTTTATAAGATGGAGTCTCTCTGTTGCCCAGGCTGGAGTGCAGTGGTGCAATCTTGGCTCACTGCAACCTCTGCCTCCCGGGTTCAAGTGATTCTCCGGCAGCAGCCTCCCAAGTAGCTGAGATTACAGGCACTGCCACCATGCCCAGCTATTTTGTGTGTGTGTGTGTGTGTGTGTGTGTGTGTGTGTGTGTGTGTGTATTTTTAGTAGAGATAGGGTTTCACCATGTTGGCCAGGCTGGTCTTGAACTCCTGACCTTGTGATTCACCCGCCTTGGCCTCCCAAAGTTTTGGGATTACAGGTGTGAGCCACCAGGCCCGACAAATAAATGTTAGGTGTCCAATAAATGGACAGCTGGTAACTGATAAATATTAGCTGTCCATACACCCTGGCACAGTTGCAATGATACATAGGACATCACCTGAGGAATATATAAATGTTACAGTCCCTTGAAGGGGATCAGGATATGCCACACCAAAATATGCTACTTTGGCATAAGAATTGTTTCGAGTTGAAGGGAACTGAGAGTTAACAGATGAAGGGAGAGGTTTCTGCCCTTCTCTTATCTGCCTAAAAGCAGGGCATAAGTTTCCCTTTGTGGAGGTATCTCCACTCTACTGTACCAGGGAGAGAAGAGTAACTTTATGACTGAAGACGATGAAGCAGCACTGAGATGAGTCTGCATAAACAAATTTACTAAAATATCGCTTATCTTCCATTGGTTTCCCTATGTATTTCCTAGTCATTTTCCTACAAGGTATTATCCCTTGAAGCCCAAACTCCCTTTTCTTTGTTAAAACAGTATGTAAGTCCCCAAGTCTAACCACTACTTTGAGTTTTACTTCTTTTCTGTAAACTGTTGTGCACAAAAATATTAATAAAAATTGGGGGCCGGGCATAGTGGCTCATGCCTGAAATCCTAGCACTTTGGGAGGCTGAGGTGGCTTGAGGTCAGGAGTTTGAGACCAGCCTGGACAACATAGGGGAACCCCGACTCTACTAAAAATACAAAAATTAGTAGAGTGTGGTAGTGCATGCCTATAGTCCCAGCTACTTGGGAGGCTGAGGTAGGAGAATCACTCAAACCCGGGAGGTGGAGGTTGCAGTGAGCCAAGATGGTGCCACTGCACTCCAGCCTGGGTGACAGAGTGAGACTCTGTCTCAAAAAAGAAAAAATAAATAAAAATTGGGTGCCTTTTCTCTGTTAATCTGTCTTCTGTTCATTTAATTTTCAGGTTCCCAAATACTACATGTAAAAGGGTAGAGAAAAATTTTTTCCTCCTTCAGACTCTCCATTGAGAAATTTGGATTGAGGATGGACAATGGAGGGTGGAGGTTGGTAGAGTGTAGATGTACAATTATTATGTGTCAATAAAGATAAGTAAGTACAAATTAAAAAACAAAAAATATAGAGTCATGATTTTGACACCTTGACTTCTTTTTCATTGATCTACGTGAAACAGACCTTAGTCGGTCTGGGTTTGCCAGTGTGGACAAGCCATTTAGCATAAAGAGCAAAGGGCTGGAAATAAAGCCACTACTAAGTTGAGAGAGTTGGCCAGTTAGGTCAAATAACCAGAGACAGCTCCTTATGGCATTATAAATTAGGGACTGTCTAGAGTACAATATATCTTATAAAACCTGGAGAGTGAAAAACTTCTTTTTTTTTTTTTTTTTTTGAGATGGAGTTTCACTCTTGTTACCCAGGCTGGAGTGCAATGGTGCAATCTCGGCTCATCACAACCTCCGCCTCCTGGGTTCAGGCAATTCTCCTGCCTCAGCCTCCTGAGTAGCTGGGATTACAGGCACGCGCCACCATGCCCAGCTAATTTTTTGTATTTTTAGTAGAGACGGGGGTTTCACCATGTTGACCAGGATGGTCTCGATCTCTTGACCTTGTGATCCACCCGCCTCGGCCTCCCAAAGTGCTGGGATTACAGGCGTGAGCCACTGCGCCCAGCCCTGAGAGTGAAAAACTTCTAAATGAGCCCCAGTGCATTAAAAATCAATAGCTATAATTCCTACTCAAAAAATTACTTCTTAATCACACTCAGATCCAAAAAGTGTTTCTTACCTTTTGATAATGCCAGGGAGTGGTAATGTCCACAGGAAACTTGTATTATTTTTATACCAGTCAGAGTCGTTATTTTCCTGTAATAAAAACAATACAAAATTCATGAATCATTATTTGGAGTAAGTTGTCCAGTGGACTACAGATATTTAAAAGTATCTCAGGTAATACATATGGTCCAGAAAAACAATTTAATTTTCTTGTATTTCTGTAGTGCCTTTATTCCAAAGCCCTCAAACTGTTTTTACATGACATCAACATATACAAAGGTATAGGACAGAATCCAAAACAGTACATAATGCAAAAGCAATTGTTACTGGACTCCAATACAGTACCTAATGTACTAATTTTATTCTACATTTATTAGCCTAAAAGAAAAATAAATTTTTTCTACATATATAGTAAAGAGCTTTAGAATTTATAGAATACCAACATCTTCATCATCATCTAATTTAAGAAAGAAATTATTAGGTTAAATCATACAAAATTGCCACCATTTTTGTGGATTAAAACCAGATAACTATTGGTAATTTTGTTTTTTTTTTTTATTCCCCCCCAGATGGAGTCTCGGTTTGTTGCCCAAGCTGAAGTGCAGTGGCTTGATTTTGGCTCATTGCAACCTTCACCTCCCAGGTTCAAGTGATTCTTCTGCTTCAGCCTCCCAAGTAGCTGGGATTACAGGCATGCAGCACAACGTCTGGATTTTTTTTTTTTTTTTTTGATTTAGTATACAACATGGTTTCACTATGTTGGTCAGGCTGATCTTGGTCTCAAACTCCTTATCTCAGGTGATCTGCTCACCTTGGCCTCCCAAAGTGCTGGGATTACAGGCGCGGGCCGCTGCACCTGGCCACTATTGGCAATTTGATAAAGTGAAACTAATGGAACTCAAAGAGGTCAAATAGGTATGATGCTGTAAAACTAGACTCAAATTATGATCTTTTCATTCCAAATTCAATGCTCATTCCTCCAAATCACATTGATCTCTTCTAGAATTTAATGACCGGAAGATGTAACAAGAAGTCACTTCCTAAAATTAAAAAGCATATGTTTGAAAATTCCTGGCCAGGCGTGGTGGCTCAAGCCTGTAATCCCAGCATTTTCGGAAGCCGAAGCCGGTGGATCACGAGGTCAAGATATCGAGACCATCCTGGTCAACATGGTGAAAAATACAAAAAAATTAGCTGGGCATGGTGGTGCGTGCCTATAATCCCAGCTACTCAGGAGGCTGAGGCAGGAGAATTGTCTGAACCCAGGAGGTGGAGGCTGCGGTGAGCTGAGATCACGCCATTGCACTCCAGCCTGGGTAACAAGAGTGAAACTCCATCTCAAAAAAAAAAGAAAAAAAGAAAAAGAAAAAAAATTTCTTAAGAGTGTAATCCATAAACACAAAATTCAGAGCCGACTACTTGTCATATCTGTCCTGGGAAGTTGTTTCTGAGGAAATGTGATATTTCCCTCTATTTTACTAAGATATTAGGGTCTAGTGATTTATGACAAGCCAAAAGGTTATGGTGGGAAAAAAGCTTTTTCTCTTCCACCTTTGGTCCAATATTTGGGCCTGCGAATTAACTGACTATAGATTAACAAGAGAAAAGACGAAGGTTATTTATAAGTGTGCTTACTATTGCAGAATATTCCAAAGTAAGGTTTTATATATGTCAACTTAATAAAAGGCGGTGTTTTGGGACTTCAGTGGGAAAGTATAGAAGGTTCTATTGGGCTTTTTGATGGTAATGGTAATGTAATGGGTGGTGTCTCTTCATGACAACTGAATACCCAGGAAATTCTCACTCAAGGAAGTTACTGGCAACTGTATTTTCAGGAGGCTCTGTTTTAGTGTGATAAAGGAAGTTCAGGTAAGATTTAGGTCTGCATCTTTTGCAGCTCAAATGTTTCTACTTTACACCCACTTTAGTATAAAGACTAAACACTCTGGAGGTCTAAATGGGCCCTTACAGTTATATTCCAAGAGGTAAGATTAAGATCAAAGGGTCCAACTCGTTTGACTCAGCTCTAATTGAATAATAATTGGTGTTGTAGTTTTTTCCCCCGCCTTTTTTTTTTTTTTTAGAGACAGAGTCTAGCTCTGTTGCCCAGGTTGAAGTGCAGTGGTGCAATCTTGGCTCACTGCAACCTCTGCCTCCTAGGTTCAAGCAATTCTCCTGCCTCAGCCTCCCTAGTAGATGGGATTACAGGCATGTGCCACCATGCCTGGCTAATTTTTTGTATTTTTAGTAGAGACAGGGTTTCACCATGTTGGCCTGGCTGGTCTTGAACTCCTGACCTCATGATCCACCAGCCTCAGCCTCCCAAAGTGCTGGGATTATAGGCATGAGCCATGGCACCCAGCCATTTTTTTTTTTTTTTTTTTGAGGCTGAGTCTCCACCTGTTGCCCAGGCTGGAGTGTAGTGGTCCTGTCTTAGCTCACTGCAACCTCCACTTCTCAGGCTCAAGCTATTGTCCCATATCAGGCTTCTGAGTAGTTGGGATTACAGGTGCCTGCCACCATGCCAGGGTAATTTTCTTGTATTTTTTGTAGACATGGGGTTTCGCCATGTTGGCTAGGCTGGTCTCAAACTCCTGACCTCAAGTGATCTATCCACCTTAGCCTTCCAAAGTGTTGGGATTACAGATGTAAGCCACTGCAGCTGGCCTGTCATAGTCATCTTTGTATCCTGGCATCTTGCACAGTGCCTGGCACACGGTACTAAATATATTGAAGGAGAGGACTGAAGTACTTACTTAGGTGTGAAATTTATTTCCTTGAATTCTCCAATCCCCAGCTGCCCTTCAGAACCAGCTCCCCATGCGAAGACCCTTCCTTTGTGGCACACAGCCAGGGAGTGCTCCTTCCCGCAGCTTACAAGATTAAACTTTAGGGTTTTCAGTGCCTGAACTGGTTCTTTGGGAAACAAAACACAACACCCCCAACCACCACCACCAGATCATTAGTTTAACAAGTTTAAGACAGCACTTTTCTTCAAAAAGAAGGATCATCCAGATCTCTTGTCTCCTCCAATGGTATTTTAAACTGAGACCTAAAGTTAATGCTAAATGTCTGAAGGAAGTAGATTCAATGTGTGTTACCCTGTCTTTTTTTTTTTTTTTTTTTTTTTTGGAGGCCATTATCCTTAGCAAACTAATGCAGGAACAATTACCCTGTCTTTTTTTTTTAATTTTTTATTGCATTTTAGGTTTTGGGGTACATGTGCAGAACATGCAAGACAGTTGCATAGGTACACACATGGCAGTGTGTTTTGCTTCCTTTCTCCCCTTCACCCACATTTGGCATTTCTCCCCAGGCTATCCCTCCCCAGCTCCCCCTCCCCCGCTGGCCCTCCCCTTTTCCCCCCAATAGACCCCAGTGTTTAGTACTCCCCTCCCTGTGTCCATGTGTTACCCTGTCTTTACGGGATACAGCTCTGTTAAAATAATCAACTGGGAGATTATTAAGTTGAGATGGCTCCAGAACCTTGAGTTCCTAAACAAACCAAAACACAACTCAGAGTGATTGGTCATAGCCCAGGAAAATGAAACTTAAGGTTAACCAATCGGAAACCACCAACTAACTTTAGAGACTAAACCACCAACTAACTAGAGACTTCACAAACCAGAAACTGCTGACTACTTCTAACAAGGGACTTTCCACTTTAACCAATCAAACATTTCCCTTGTCTTGCTTCCTGGAACACCATATCAAAGGTTTCCCCTTGCATCTCCTTGCACCTCCCTCAGTGGAGCCCAACTGCTTGAGGTCTGGTGCTGCTCAATTCATGAACTGCTGAACGTTCAAATTAACTCTTAAAAATCATTTAATGTACCCAAGTCTATCTTTTAATGGTTGTTACTTAAAGGAGTAGGCATCATGGAGGGGGTAACCTCTAGGGACTATGATGCATAACCAAACATTTCTCTATGATGGTGTTAGCAAACCCTAGCAAAATGAAAGGACCCAGAAAAAAGGTGGGATCTCCTCATTCTGCTACTCTGTCTTCCCACCCTAAACACTGAAAGCAGTGAATCCGTTGCTCAGAAGGAAACTGAAAGGGAGACTACCTCATGAGTGTGACAGGCAGGTGCTGGATCCTCTTACAATGAAAAGTGAAAAAAATATGCCCCTATGGAGGCCCTAAATATGCCCACAAATGAAAACCGCATCACATTTCCCTACAAGCCAATCTAAACTGTTTTCCCAAGGGGCCTGTCTCTGAATTATTAGAGTTGAGAACATCATACCAGTAAAGTTTTTGTAACATTTAAGATTTTTTTTCCTTTATCTTTGTGATAATTTTTTTCAACTATTTACTGTCAATCTATGCAAGGCTAAAATTTCCCAAAGATTCATGCACGCAGAAAGACAGAAATTGGTACCATTTTTCTGGTGAACAATTTGGCATTAAGTATCATGTTGCCCTTCATTTCCAGATGAAGGTGATCAGACCTGAAAACATGCTACTATACCATAAGAATTTGAGCTGAAGGCAACTGAGAATCAACAGATGCAGGAAGAGTTCTCTGCTCTCTTTTTATCACCTAAAAGTAGGGCATAAATACCCTTTTGTGAGAAGCTCGTATCTCCTGCACCAAGAAGAGAAGGGTCACCTAAGATGAAGACTTGGCACTGGGATGAGTCTGCATAAACAACTCTAATAAAATAACCCTTATCTTCCCTTATATTTTCTAGTCACTTTCCCCGAGTTCATCATCCTTTAAAGTCCAAACCCCCTTTCCTTTGTTAAATATGATATACAAGACCCTAAGTCAAAGCACTTGAGTTTCACTACTATTTTGTAAATTCCCATGCATGTAAATCCCCCTATATGTAAAAGATTAATAAAATTGTATGCTTTTTCTCCTGTCGATCTGTCTTTTGTCAGTTACGTTTGCAGGCCCCAGGTGCTGAATCTAAGAGGGTAGAAGAAAAATTTTCCTTCTCCACACACCTTTTGAAACTATTCTCAGCAAGTCATCAGATATGTGGTCAAATTATTTCCTTACAAGAACATCAATCAGAATTATTTATAAAAGCCCCTAGTGGGAAACAATCTACTTTCCACAAAAAGAGAATAATTATGGTACTCTTAGAGTTTGGAATGTTATGCGACAATTTAAAATGTATTTTCAAAACGTGCAATAAAAGGGTAGTATGTTCATATGATTATGTTTGATGAAAACACAATGTATAGAGTTGCAATAAATACTGCATATACAAATCTATAATGGTATGATTTTTATAAAACATTAAATACATAAACTGAAAAAAGTAGACAAGGAGAAAATGCATCAAAATGTTAAGAGTTATCTTTGGATGCTGGAGCTACAGGTGATTTCTTTCTCATATTTCTACAAAAATCTATAACGATTATTGTATTATCATATTTTTTTAAGAAAAAAAATGCCCCAGGGTATTTCTAAGGGAGTTACAGGTGTCTAACCCGCAAACCACGTTTGTGCGGTCAGGCTGCCTTCTCCAGGTAGAACAGCGCAGGCGAGGATTTGTCTGCAAGGCAAGCCGAAGGACCACATTCTGTCCAGAGCAGGGCGGACCGGGTTAGTTTTGACTCTCAGTTTCGCTTTGAACTTGAATTGGAAACCGAAACGAACCCCAGGGGCGGCGGGAAAACGAAACTGAGGAAGTTGCGCTTCGGAAGCACAGGGCACAATTCTCCCGGTTCCTTTGGCTCCTCTGGTCCCGAGAGATCCGAGGCTCCCAGCACCCCTGCCTGCCTGGCCCTTGGCGCCCAACATCTGAGCCGCGCCCCGCACCTGGGCACCCGCGCCCCGCGCTCCGCACCCGGTTCCCTGCGCCTGGTACCCGAGTCCCCGCGTCCATGCACTGGGGTCGCCACACCCCGCGCCTGGGGTCTGCGCTCACCTGGCAGGTCCCCGCGCGGCGCGCCCCTGCGGCCCAGCTGGCCCCGGCTGTTCTCTCCGCACGAGTGGACCGAGGAGTTGGTCAGCAGCAGCAGAGCGTGGCGCTCCCCGCTGGCCGCTTGCAGTAGCTCAGCTCCGGGGCTGCCCTCCGTCCTCCGGCGCTGCAGCCCCCTGGAGCCGGCGCCCCAAGAGAAGTACATCCCGCTTCCGCGCCCTGTCGCCTGCTTCGGATTCCCGTCCTTCTCTCTGCGACAGGCTCTCGAACGCTGGTGACTGGGTAGGCAACGATTTCCTGGACTTCGGGAGGCTCACCCTGCCTTCAACCCGCCCCAGGAGGGCAGCCCTAACCCCACGTCAACTCTCGCCGCCTAAGCTTCCAGTTTTGAAGAGCAGAGAGGGAATGCATCTGGGTTTACTTTACATCCTAAGCCAATCATGAGTCATGAATGCCACTTTGGGCAAGTTACCTAATGATTCTGTGCTTCAGCTATCACATCTACGAAATATGGATAGCAATTCAGCAAATCTAATATGTTGGGATAATTTAACAGATACATAAAGTGTTAGAATAATACATAGCACGGTGAATAAAGCATCTGAGTGCCCACCTCCTTCCAGATCTTTTTTGGCACTGAAAATAAAAGTTTTTTTTTGTTGGTTGGTTTGAGACGGATTCTCGCTCTGTCGCCCAGGCTGGAGTGCAGTGGCGCGATCTTAGCTCACTGCAACCTCCGCCTTCCGGGTTCAAGCAATTCTTCTGCTTCAGCCTCCCAAGTAGGTGAGATTATAGGCGTGAGCCACGACGCCCGGCTAATTTTTGTATTTTTAGTAGAGACGGGGTTTCACCATCTTGCGAGGCTGGTCTCAAATTCCACCCCCTCAGCTTCCCAAAGTGCAGGGATTACAGGCATGAGCCTCCGCGCCCGGCCCGAAAATACAATTAGTGAAAGACAAGATCTTGGTGGTGCGTGTTCGTTCTCTTACGGGAAAGAGAACATAAACAGATTAACACATAGTGTAATATCCAGGGACAATGAAAAATACAATAGGAACTAGAAGGTAGAGGCAGAAGGCACTGGTATTTCAGATGATATTAGGGAAGAGTTTCCTGATAAAATGATATTTATGCAGAGAGATGAGAGGAAATGGGAAATGAGGGAATGAGTCGTGATCATAAGTAAGGGCAGAGGATAAAAAGAAGCCGTTGGAAGGTTTTGAATAGAGAAGAGCCATGGTGTGACTTTCGTTTTTAAAGATTTATCTGGCCGCTGTGTAAAAAATAATAAAACAAAAACGGAAGCAGAAAGCCAGTTAGCAGAGACTACTTAAGAGTCCAATTTTTGGACTTAATTTGTAATTTTAAATACAAAAATTAGCTGGGCATGGTGGCGCTTGCCTGTAATCCCAGCTACTCAGGAGGCTGAGGCAGGAGAATTGCCTGAACCCAGGAGGCCGAGGTTGCGGTGAGCCGAGATTGCGCCATTGCACTCCAGCCTGCGTAACAAGAGCGAAACTCCGTCTCAAAAAAAAGAATAAGGATAAACTCTGTCAATTGCTTGCGGAGCAAGTTGAGGGTTGAGCACTGATACTTATTTATTTATTTATTTTTAGATGGGGGTTCCACTCTTGTTGCCCAGTGACATCCTGGAGGAAAAGAGAGGAGAAGTTATTAGATTCAAGATGTGTTTTGAAAGTAAGAATTCACAGATTTGACGATGGATTAGAAATTGGGGGGAAAGAAGAAGAGAGATTAGGAATAACTCCAGTTGGCCTTAGGGGTTACTCCAGGATAAACTCTACTGGGGTGGGAACCCCGGAGGAGGTGCAGATTTAGAGCTGTGTGGGTCTGGAGTACAGACTGGTAATGATAACTGTGAGATGCTTGTTAATCAAGAAGGCAATAGGATAAACTGTTTTGGAGTTGTAGAGAGAAGCTGGGGTGGAGTCAGAAAATTGGGAGCCATCAGGAGATGATGCTCAAAGCCAAATGGCTGAATGAGAACATCCAGGGGGTGAATATGGCAACAGTGTAGCAGAGGCTAGATGACTGATCATAGGAGGAAAACCAGGAGCAGGAGTTACAGACAGAGCAATAAAGAGTAAGACAGGATCCCTGGTCAACAAGGTGAAACCCCGTCTCTACTAAAAATACAAAAATTAGCTGGGCATGGTGGCGCCTGCCTGTAATCCCAGCTACTCAGGAGGCTGAGGCAGGAGAATTGCCTGAACCCAGGAGGCGGAGGTTGCGGTGAGCCGAGATTGCGCCATTGCACTCCAGCCTGGGTAACAAGAGCGAAACTCCGTCTCAAAAAAAAGAATAAGACAGGATAAACTCTGTCAATTGCTTGCGGAGCAAGTTGAGGGTTGAGCACTGATACTTATTTATTTATTTATTTTTAGATGGGGGTTCCACTCTTGTTGCCCAGGTTGGAGTGCAGTGAGGTGATCTCAACTCACTGCAACCTCCACTTCCCAAGTTTAAGCGATTCTCCTGCCTCAACCTCCCGAGTAGCTGGGACTACAGGCATGCGCCACCACGCACACCTAACTTCTGTATTTTTTGAAGAGACGGGGTTTCACCATGTTGCCCAGCTGGTCTCGAACTCCTGACCTCAGGTGATCTGACTACCTCAGCCTCCCAAAGTGCTGGGATTACAGGCATGAGCCACCATGCCCAGCTGAGCACTGGTTTTTAGATTTGGAAATTTTGACAACGTTAGCCATCATCTGTTGGGTCTGTCCTGCAGACCCGGGCAGACAGATGAAATAAGTATTCAGACACAAGTATGCAGTGTAAGAGTGGCTAGGTGATTTCCTGGCTCTAATGACCAGAGCGCAGCCCTGAGAACATGGAGCTGCTTGCTTTCATTCAGTGCAGGAACAATGCCAAAACCTGGAGTAAACACGACCTGTAGGTAATTAAAATTTATTGTTCCCCTTTCAGGAACGTCATGCTGGAGCTCAAAGGTCAGTTCCTGTAAACAAGTAAACAAACCTATTTAAGATAAATTCCCCTACACTCTCTTGAACCTTGTACCTTGCCCTCTGCCCCAGAATTATAGAACAGCTGCCTTCAGAAGCCGACCTTTCAGAAGGTTTGTCTTTTCCCTATAGTTTTTCCTGCCACTCTTACCTATCCCCCACAATCATCAGCATTATTGATTAAAAAAAAAAAACTATTATAGAACCTATTTATATAATTTCAGTTCACCACTCTTTATGACCATATTTCAAGTTCTTTAAAGAGAAGAACAAATGTTATTTATTTTTCTACTCCAGGAGTACCTGGAACTTGGTAGATGCTAATAAGAGTATATTGGACAAATGGATTGATGAGTAGTGAGTCAGTGAATAGTATTCATATTTCTGGTTCTGTTTTACTATACCAAATATAACCTTTTTCTGAATAGTAATTTCTTTAATGTTTATTTTCTCAAGCACAAACTGTAAGAGTTTGGCATTATCACCATAAGACACTGAACCCTCATATTATGTTATTTCTTTTCTTTTCTTTCTTTTTTTTTTTTGAGACGGAGTTTCGCTCTTGTTACCCAGGCTGGAGTGCAATGGCGCAATCCCGGCTCACCACAACCTCCGCCTCCTGGGTTCAGGCAATTCTCCTGCCTCAGCCTCCTGAGTAGCTGGGATTACAGGCACGCGCCACCATGCCCAGCTAATTTTTTGTATCTTTAGTAGAGACGGGGTTTCACCATTTTGACCAGGATGGTCTCGATCTCTTGACCTCGTGATCCACCTGCCTCGGCCTCCCAAAGTGCTGGGATTACAGGCGTGAGCCACCGCGCCCCGCCTACATTATTTCTTAAAAAAAATTTTTTTTTCCAAGACAGAGTCTTGCTTTGCCACCCAGGCTGGAATGCAGTGGCACAATCTCACTGCAGCCTCTACCTCCCAAGTTCACGAGCTTCTCCTGCCTCAGCCTCCCGATTAGCTGAGATTACAGGTATGCACCACCACACCCAGCTAATTTTTGTATTTTTGGTAGATGGGGTTTCACCATGTTGGCCAGACTGGTCTCAAACTCCTGACCTCAAGTAATCCACCCACTTCAGCTTCCCAAAGTGCTGGGATTACAGGTGTGAGCCACCACGCCTGGCAAAAAAAAAATTTTTTTTATTGATACATAATAGATGTACATGTCTTGGGGGTACCTGTGATAATCTGACACATTATCAAATTGGGGTATCTGTCACCCTAAGTAATTTATCTTGAGTCAGCCACAGTGGCTAATACCTGTAATCCTAGCACTTTAGGAGGCTGAGGTGGGAGGATTGCTTGAGCTCAGGAGCTGGAGACCAGCCTGGGCAACATAGTGGAACCCCATCTTTACAAAAAATAAAAAAAAAAATAGCTGGGCATAGTGGCACATGCCTATAGCTGAGATGGCATCATTGCACTCCAACCTGGGTGACAGAGTGAGACTCTGTCTCTTAAAAAAAGAAAATTATTTTGGTTGCAGGTGACAGAAAATAAGGCCCAAGCTCACATTAAATTTCCCGTTAAATAAGTAAATGGGAAATTTACTTACAGGTTATATTATTATTTTTCAAAAAACTTTGTTCCCCCTGTCCACCCTGTGTCATCAATCTTGAGCATGTGATTTGTTCTGGCCAATCATATGCAAGTGGGAAGCAACTTCAGGCAGATAGTTTAGAGCCAGCACTTCTTCTCCTACTCTCCTTTCTCTCTGTTACAACAGGTGATTTTCTAGAGAGAGACTGCTCTATTTTACCAAATCCCAGATTAAAAACAACAATCAAGCAGAGCTGCAGGTAGGCCATGGAGCATAAGCAAGAAATAATTTTTGTTGTTGTAAGCATATGAGCATTTAGGGAGTATTTATGATTACAGCATAACTGTTTATGATTAAAGTCAAGTCAAGTAACTGGAAAAGTCCACCAGGATGGCTGATTACAGGCACTGCTGTAAACAAGGACTTAACCAATGTCCTTAATGACTCAATTTCTCTGTCCATTCTGCCTCTTGCCATGAGGGCTTCATCTTCAGGCTCCATGCAGTCTATCTTGCAGTTCCAGAAGCTCCTCTGAGATGGCAAGAGGGTTACAGCAACTCTAAACTTTATATATATCCAGCTCTCAGCTTCACAGCCTGTGGACAGAAAAAATCTGCACAAAACAAAAGTCTTGAGATTTGGCCCGATTTGGGTCATATGTCTACTCCTGAGGCAATCACTGTGGAAGCCAATGAGGTGTTCAGTTAACCTTGTTGGGATGGAATCTCATCCAGGCACTTTCTGAGCGGAGTAGGCAGATCCCACATGAAAGTTTAGGCATGTTGCTGGAAGAAAGGGGAGACAGATGCTGAGGAGTTAAGCAACAATGACTTTCTTTATCAATCATGGTTATTATTATTCTCATTTTTGTGGGTAAGGAATTAAGGCTCAGAGAGTTTCAGTAACTTGCTTGAAGTTACATGGTGTGTATAAACGCAAGATTTTTTTTTTTTTTTTTTGAGATGGAATCTCACTCTGTCACCCAGGCTGGAGTGTAATGGTGTGATCTCGGCTCACTGCAACGTCTGCCTCCCAGGTTCAAGTGATTCTCCTGCCTCAGCCTCCTGAGTAGCTGGGATTACAGGTATGTGCCATGACACCCGGCTAATTTTTTTTACGTTTTAGTAAAGCTCCACCCGCCTCAGCCTCCCAAAGTGCTGGGATTACAAGTGTGAGCCACTATGCTGGCCTAAATGGCAGGATTATAACACTGATCCATTTGACTAGAAAGCTTGTTTAATCCTTACTAAAAGAATCTTATAGTAGAACACTCTTTATTCCCACCAAGTGATCCACCCACCTCAGCCTCCCAAAGTGTTGGGATTACAAGTGTGAACCACTGTGCTGGCCTAAATGGCAGGATTATAACACGGCTCCATTTGACTAGAAAGTGTATTTAATTTTTACTAGAAGAGTCTTACAATAGAGCACTCTTAGTTCCCTGAGCTCTCCCTTCATGCCCCCAATGGCACTTCCTTAAAACCATTCTAGCTAAAAATCTCCAATTCATCTTACATTTTCTTGCTATTGCAAAACTCTCGGGCCAGGTGTGGTGGCTCATGCCAGTAATCCCAGCAATTTGGGAAGTCGAGGGGGAGGATAGCTGGAACCCAGCAGTTCAAGACCAGTTTGGGCAACAAGGCAAGACCCTGTCTACACAAAAAGTTGAAAAGTTAGCCTGGCAAACATAGGTGTGGTGGTGCACACCTATGGTCTCAGCTACATGGGAAGCTGAAGCAGGAGGATCACTGGAGCCCAGGAGGTCAAGGCTGCAGTGAGCTGCGTTAATTCCATTGCATCTGTTGCGGAAAATTTTACCTGACAAGAAACCCAAGTGGCACTCAGGGAAACAGAGGAACACACTTGATTACGCCGGTGGGCCCAGAAGGGTTCACACCCAAAAGTCTGGACCGTGGCTAAGAAAAGGTACTCGCCCTTTGAAATCCTATTCTGGTTTTTATAGGTGAAGGGACAGGAGAAGTTACTCAGAACTTTAGACAACGCAGCAGGTTTTAGCTGACGTGGCAGTTTTCCTTAAGGTTTATAGCTAGTAAGCAATAAGCTGAGGTGGCTGAGGTACAGAAGCAGAAAGAGGCAGTTATTAGCAGAAAAACAGGGGCAGTTTTAAAATAGTGAAGTTGCTGACTATGTGCTAACAAAATCCTGGGCAAAATTTCCACTTCATCCCCAACTTTGATGCTCTCTTATGGATGTTAGGGAGCATCACCTTTACACCCTGGTGCCTGTATTTAGCGACTTGTACCCACGGAGGGCCAGCAACTGAGCATTTGTTTTTCTAATTACCATGGCTTCGATGAAGCACCAAAGTATGTTAATTAGGCAAGGGCTGAAGGCAAGGGCCAAGCATATTATTAATAGCAAAACAGAAAGTGACATTTTACACCAGACATGGGCAAGGAATGTCCCTCAAGGGACAACAATGATGACAGCACAACAGTAGAACAACAAATGCCGTCAGAATAGTTTTAAGATTTCAGTTCACATTTGCTGATTCAGTGGAGGCTCCTCAAGCTTCGGCTGTGGGTTGACTTGTCAGCTTCCGGTTGTGTGACTAGAGCAGGGCTTGACGAGTTCTCAGGATTCAGCTCGCCAGAGCATGATTTTCGTGGGGTGCGGAGGGTCTGATGTGCCGGCCACCAGTCCAGCAATGTGTTCTGGTGGGCCCTCTTGGCTCTGGAATAGTATACCCACAAAACAACTCCTGCAACTTTGAGAGCAGTTGGGGTGACAAGGATTACAGTATGGAGCCCTGTCCAGACAGGCTGGAGGGCTTTCTTCTTCCAATCCTTTACCCAGACCTGGTTCCCAGGTTGGAAGGGATATACTGGATTGGCTAGGGAGATAGGTGCCCTCTCTATTACAAACTGACTGACCTGGGACAGCACCTTTCCTAATGCCTGCAGCTGGGATATCATGCTTGTTTCCCCCAACTGTCTGAGGTGTCCCATCACCTTGTTAACCAGAGGCGGTGGGGGTGGGGGGCTCCCGAATAGGATTTCAAAGGGTGAGTAACCAGGGGGTCCCGGTGTAAACCGTGACTGCAACAGGGCTAGGGGAAGCATATCTACCCAGGAAGCCTGGGTTTCCTGACAGAGCTTTGCTAGTGTAACCTTTAGGGTTTGATTCATGCGCTCCACTTTCCCTGAACTTTGTGTCCTGTAGGCTGTGTGAAGTTTCCACTTAATCTTGAGCACACTGGTGAGGGCTTGGATGATCTTTGCCACAAATGCTGGCCCACTGTCACTGTGCATGGTGAGTGGAATCCCACACAAGGGAACAATTTCACGAAGCAGGACTCTCACAACTTCTCTGGCCCTTTCTGTCATGGTTGGGAGTGCCTGAGCCCAGCCCGAGTATGTACATACAAGGACCAGTAGGTATTTGTACCCTTTACTGGGCTTGACTTTGGTGAAATCCACCTCTACATCCTCAAAGGGGTAGCTGCCCATCTGTTGCACCCCTGGGGCAGGTTTCAGCCACTGTGGGGGGTTGTTTTAGCATAGGTAAGGCACTGATTACTGCAGCACAGAGTGTGGGTAGAGTAGTAATATAGTAATACCTGTTGAGTAGGGTCTCCAGAGCAGATTTACCTAGGTGGGTTGAGACCATGGCACTGAGTAACGACAGTATGAGCCAAGTTCCTAGGCACCACTGGTCTGTTGCTTTGCCCTGTCCTGCTGTGCCCATGGGTTTTCTTCCATGGAGTACTCTGGCTTTCCCACATCCTCTCAAAGCCAAGGGGTGACTGTGAACAAGTGGGCGGGGCCTGCACAGACCCTTTCTTCAGTGTGGCTGCCTTAGCCTCTTGGCCAGCCAGCCGTTTTCCTGTAGAGATAAGATCAGTTTCTCTTTGGTGGCCCTTGCAATGCATGACAGCTACCTCTTTGGGTTTCCAAACTGCCTCTAGCAGTCTGAGAATTTCTTCCTTATTTTTGACTTCTTTTTCTCCTGCTGTCAGCAGTCCTCTTTCTTTGTATATCGCCCCATGTATATGTTGCAAAGGCATTTGCAAAGGCGTTTGCAAAGACAGTTGCAAAGGCGTACCTGGAGTCAGTGTAAATATTGACTGCTTTGCCTTCTGTGCGGCACAGGGCCTGAATGAGGGTGTATAATTCTGCCCATTGTGCCTACCAGACTCTGGGCAAGGGGGCTGCCTCAACCACTTCAGTGGTAGTGGCAACTGCATACCCTGCATACGTCTCCCCATTCTGGACATAGCTGCTTTCGTCGGTGAACAGGTTTAAGTCTGCCTTAGGGAGGGGACAGTCCTTGAGGTCTGGCTGACTAGCAAAGACCTCATCTACCACCTACTCATGGTCGTGGTCCAGGGATCCCTCTTCTATGGGTAGAAATGTGGCCGGGTTGAGGCCACACATGGTTTCAATGGTGACCCATGGGTTTTCACAGAGCAGCCCTTGGTAGTGGGTTAAATGGGCATTTGAGAGCCACCAGTGCCCCTGACTTCTCTCTTTTTCTCTTTCAAGGCCCAACAGTCTGGATGAGGACCCCAAGTACTGTTTTGTTTCTGTCCTGAATGAACAGATTGAATTCTCATGTGACATCTAGAAGTCCTAGTGCTCAGGCACTTTGGAGCTGTGCCTTGATTTCCCAGAAAGCCATGTCTTGGCTATCACTCCACTCAAGGGGTCTATCTTCTGCCCCGAGAAACTCCTGGAGTTTCCACTTGGTGCTGGAAGTGGGCATGGAGGAAGTCATCTTTTTTCTCTCTGGTCCCTGGGACTGGTGTTCTTTGGTGATGATGAATCCCAGGTTTCTCACCTGTTGTCTGCAGATTTGGGCCGTAGACATTCCTGAAGCGTTCGTCTCTGCCCAGACTGGAAGGCATCCAGGAATTCTGGTGGGTTTTTCTCTGACCTCTTGGCAGTGTGCAGTTTCCATTCTTCCTCATGTGGAAGTGTGACTGCTAGGACCAGACCCCTCTTTGTCTCACTTAAAGTCAGACTGGCTGGTTCCCTAGGGTTCAAAAGTGATTTGTGCCCCCAGTTTGCTTAACAAGTCTCTTCCCAGAATGGGGACAGGACATTCCAGTAGATAGAGGAATTCATGGTGTACCTGGTATCCCCCTAATTGGCATATCTGATCTTGGCAGAACGGCTGGGGCTCTACCTGGTCACCTGTTGCTCCCACAACAGTTGCCTTCCTGTTGCTAAACAGGGCAACTGGAGTGGTGACCACTGAGCACTCCACTCCAGTGTTTACCATAAAAGTCATTGGGTGGCCCTCAACCTTCATCTTGACCATGGACGCTCAGGGCCAAGTTTCTCCATAGAGCCTGGCCTGTTCTAGTCTGAGTCCATCCCAGTGGAGTCCATCCTGGCCAAGTTGATCAGGTGGGCCTGGCTAGGTTCTGGCTGGTATTCTGCCCTTCCTTGGGGGGTGCCCCACCTGGGACCATCCACTTGGGGCACTCGTTCTTCCAGTGTCCCACCTCTCTGCAGCATGCACACTGATCTAGCTACAAAGGAGGGTGCTCAGATGTCCCCGCTTTGCGCTGGGGGTGTGTCAGGCAAGGCTGGTGGGCTGGGGGCTGATGGTGCCAGAAGGACATAAGGCAGTGGCAGCTCCTCCTCAGGGTCACCCTGATGAATGGGTTGCTTGGGTCCCTTAGTTGCTTGGGCCATGAAGACCTTGCACTGTCCCTTCCTACCAGCAGAGAACTGAACATAAGGGGTAGGGTCTGAGCTATTTCCAACCAGGAATCAATATATGGGAACTGGTCTGGGTGGCCAGGGTTACCAGTCACAGCCTTCCAAACAGCCTGTACCTTGGAGACTTCCAGGATGCCCTCTGGTGGCCAGCTGACACTAAGTGCCAGCCACCCAGATCTGCAGAGGGTTTTTAGTCTTCCTGGGGTCATTTTAACCCCATAATCTCCAGAGAAGCCCTTCCTAAAGTTTTTGACCATACAATCTAGGACCTTGAGCTTAGACTGACTTTTCTGCAGGATATGTATCCCCTTTGAATGGTGACGCAAGACAGACAAAGGAGGGGTATCCCGTGAGGGACCACTCAGATGCCCACCTGGCCGCGCCCCTTGTGGGAACTTAGGCACCTCTTAGCAGTCAGTGGGTTGGTATAATCACCCGACTTGGATGGAACTCAGCTTGCGCTCAGCTCCATGCCGCCATAAGCCATATGAGGTTTGCCATGGAAACGCAGGCTCAAGCCCTGTGGAGCTCCGTAGTTTGCACCATGGAGCTACGGACTAGAGGTTCAAGAGCAGGCTCCTGAGCTCCCCACACACTCATACACTCACTCAGAAGTTATCACATTTTCACCCTAACCCGACAAATCCAACTGCTGTCTCCAAATGGAGACCCTGGGAGGTGATCAGGCTCCCCTTCTGTCCATAGATGGGCCTGGCCAGAGTCAGTCCCAGGACCTTACTGTATCCGGCGTTCCCCTCAGTTCAGTCCGTCTCCCCTGTGAGTCTGGTGAGCAGCAATGCCGGAGCAGCAGCAGTTCCCCTTCCAGGGAAGGAGGTCCTGTAGGAGCTTACGGGGGAAGGGGGTCCCTGCCTGCCTCGTACCCTGGCGGGGAACAGGCGAGCTGTCCATCTTTTCCGCCCCAAACGGGTGGCTCAAGGGAACAGGGCTGTTGGGTTTCCCGGTCAGGGAACCAAATGTGGAAAATTTTACCTAAAAAAAACCCAAGCGGCACTCAGGGAGACAGAGGAACACATTTTATTAGTCCAGCGGGCCCAGAAGGATTCACACCCAAAAGTCTGGGCCCCGGCTAAGAAAAGTACACAGTTTTTATAGGTGAAGGGGCAGGGGAAGTAACTCAGAACTTTAGACAACAGCAGCAGGTTTTAAACAATGCGGCAGTTTTCTTTAAGGTTTATAGCTAGTAAGCAATAAGCTGAGGTACAGAAGCAGAAAGGGGCAGTTTTTAGCAGAAAAACAGGGGCAGTTTAAAATAGGGAAGTTGCTGACTATGTGCTAACAAAATCCTGGGCAAAATTTCCACTTCACATCTAGCCTAGATGACAGAGCAAGACCCTGTTTCAAAAAACAAAAAAGGAAAACCCTCCCCTAATGGATTAGTTGCTGATTGGCTGATATCATCAGCATCTCATTTTCTATCCTCTTCTTTCTGTCTCCACCACTCTTACCATAGTTCAGGTCTTTGGCAACAATATCTCAAATGTCTCTATCAACAACTGGCATCACAAATGGATCCTTTTTATTCTTCTGAGTGTTGCCTGTGGAAAACACAGGTCTGGGCTGGGCATGGTGGCTCACACCTGTAATCCCAGTACTTTGGAAGGCTGAGGCAGGTGGATCACCTAAGGTCAAGAGTTTGAGACCAGCCTGGCCAACATGGTGAAACCCCGTCTCTACTAAAAATACAAAAATTAGCCAGGCATGGTGGTGTGTGCCTGTAATCCCAGCTACTTGGGAGGCTGAGGCAAGAGAGTCACTTGAACCTGGGAGGTGGAGGTTGTGGTGAGCTGAGATCATGCCCCTGCACTCTAGCCTGGGCGACAGAGCAAGACCCTATCTCAAAACAAACAAACAAACAAACAAACAAACAAACAAACAAACACAGGTCTAATCACATCACTTATTTTTCTTAATAGTTGTAGGCCTGTTGCTTACACAAATACAAAGAAAATCCTTTGCATATGATTAAAGGCCTTCTGTGATCCACTTGTAATTAACCTTTCTATATTTATCTCCCTGACAGTTATAGTTATATATACCCCCACCCCCCACCATGCATACACAGGGACCACTGTCACAAAGAGCTACTTGCCTTTTTCTACTTGCTTTTTCCTAAATCCATGCCTCTGTTCATTCTGTTTTCTCTGTGGAATTTCCTTTTCCTCATTTTTTTTTTTATGAAAAAACATGTCTTAAATGTCTCATCTCTGTGGATCCTTTCTTTTTCTTTGTTTCTTTTCCTTTTTTTCTGAGACAGGGTCTCACTGTGTTCCCAAAGCTTGAGCACAATGGTGCAATCACAGTTCACTACAGCCTCAATCTCCTGGGCGCAAGTGATCCTCCCATCTCAAACCTCCAAAGTAGCTGGGACTACAGGTGTGTGTCACCATGCCTTTAAATTTTTTTGTAGAGACAGGGTCTCACTATGTTGCCCAGGCTGGTCTAGAACTCCTGGCCTCAAGCAATCATCCAGCCTCAGCCTCCCAAAGTGCTGAGATTACAGGTGTGAGCCACTGCACCCACCCTTGTGGAGCCTTTCTTAGATTCCACAACATCAATTATTCCTTTTTCTAGTCTCTATAACAAATAATGTCTTTTGTACACATTCTAATATGGTTTGGCTGTGTTCCTACCCAAATCTTGAATTGTAGCTCCCATAATTCTCATGTGTTATGGGAGGGACCTGGCAGGAGGTAACTGAATCATCAGAGTGGGTCTTTCCTGCATTGTTCTCATGATAAGTCTCACGAGAGATCTGATGGTTTTATAAAGGGGGGTTTCCCTGCATATGTTCTCTCTCTCTTCCCTGCTGAAATCCATGTAACACATGACTTAGCTCCTCCTTTGCCTTCCACCATGCCTTCCACCATGATTGTGAGGCTTCCCCAGCTATGTGGAACTATGAGTCCATTAAAGCTTTCCTTTGTAAATTACTTGGTCTTGGGCATGTCTTTATTAGCAGCATGAGAACAGACTAATGCACATTCCCACAATTTAATACTAGTTTCATATTGTATTGCCATATTATTCTATAGTTTAAAAAATAATCTTGGCCAGGCATGGTGGCTCACGTCTGTAATCCCAACACTTTGGGAGGCTGAAGTGGGTGGATCACTGGGGGCCAGGCAACCAAGACCAGCCTGGCCAACATGGTGAAACCCCCTGTCCACTAAAAATACAAAAATTACCTGGGTGCGATGGTACACGCCTGTAATCCCAGCTACTCAGGAGGTTGAGGCAGGAGAATCACTTGAACTTGGGAGACAGAAGTTGCATTGATCCGAGATGGTGTCATTGCATTCCAACATGGGTGACAGAGTGAGACTCTGGCTCAAAATAATAATAATAATAACAATAAAATTTTAAAAATAAAAAATATAAAAAAACTTTACTGAATATCCACTGTAGGTATAATATGGAACAAACAAAATATAATAATTACTATTCATCAGCATTTACTTTAGACTTTACAAAATCTTTCCAGCTCTTTCCCTCATGTGTCCTCATAACCACAGAGTAGTAGGCATGAGAGGGCTTACAGGGCTGAGAGTAATTTGTCCTGAGCTTACAGATAAGTAAGTAGAATAGTGTACCTTTATCAAAGAACACCCACATATAAAAACAGAAAATCAATATAAATTAACTGTCATTCTACCTCTAAAATAAAACTTGAAAATTATTTATGCCTAATATTTTATTCCAATAGCCATTTTTCTTTTTTTTAAACTAATTTTTCCCTAACAGTGATTTATGGAAGGCAAGAGAATGAGAAAAGGAAAATAAAATAAAATGTCCCAACTGCTTACCACATCTGTCTCTTTCACAATACATCAGCCAATTTGAGCAACCACCCTATAAGGTACATATTATCCACATATTATCTATCTGGGTACAGCTATGAATAACTTAAGCCTCAGAAAACTCAAGTGATTTGCTCAAGATAACTAGTAAGGAAATAGAGGATCCCAGAATCAACCCCTCTTTCCACTGAACAGCACTGACTCAGTGTGAGGTGAGGAGGACACTAGAAAGGAGTTGAGAGAGGACAAGCTTATAAAAGGTTGTTATGGAGTGAGTGGGGTTGAGGAGACATAGATAGACCAGTGAGGAAGGAGAAAAAGCGATCTGGGGAAAATTGTCAAGGGTCAAGTAGAAGAACATCTGAGAAGAGGTAGGAGTGTTGAAGTCTCCATTGCTTCCTTTTGCCCTTTTCTTCCTAGACCATCGTCTATTTAACTCCATTGTTCTGAGTTTGAAGCCTACACTCTGCTTTCAGCTCTTAGGACAAATGAAAAATAGAACACACTCCCTAATATGCTTACTTTTTAATTATACTCCAGCTGCAACTCAGTCACCTCCAGGTGGCTCCCTGGCATATTATCTAGTATTTTTGTTTTCTTTTCACAAATGGACAAGACAATTAGGATGGCCTAGGACAAGTCAGTGTGGTGGTGGGGGGGGCACATTTGCTCAAGGAGGGGAAACGTTTGCTCAAACCTGCCATTCTCCTTATAGACAAGAAATGGTAGTTTTCAATTTGAACACTAGATGGAGTATTAGTCAAGTTAATTAGTTGTTACAGCGGTAAATCACCGGGCACCTGTCAGCCAGTTATAAGCGATTAGCACAGCTGCTGGACTAAAAGACATGGGCGTCAGGCTTTCTGGGAAAGGACTCTCTAACAAACTCTGGCTTTTCGGAATTGGGAGCGTCAGTCTGCATGGCTGGCACCAGCTTTCCTTTCTTTCCACTTTTTCTTTCTCTGGGCCAAGCCAAGAGTCAGCTAGGGGCAATGAGCGATGGTCCTGACCTCCTGGTTTGATCCAGTCGAGGTTATGGCCTTGCTTAGATCTCCTAAGAGACAGCCACCTATGTGAGTGCCACCCAGCCTTTCAGACTCCAACCTCCTGGGTCCAGATATCCATGAGGAAAACTTCTTCCAGGCTCTTTCCTCTAAGATATTTCCTACACATGAGGCCATTACCCTTCTTGCTAGGAACTTGAGGTTCTTGGGATGGTAGTCCAGGAACCCTTGCCTGTGGTGCCCTCAGGCCTATTGCCCTCAGGCCTATACCTGTGAGGACCTCCTACAGTACAAATACCCAGGACCAGTTTCCTTAGTCCACTGTGCTAGGCTATGTCCTAGCAGAGCCAAGATCTATCAGTGGGTACTGGAGGTTATAGGACATTTTGTTTTCTGTCACCCACAATTTCCCAATCCAACTGAATGGTGCCAGGATCTGATGATGTATAATTTGTCCAGCATAGGATCGGCTCTCCATAGGGCAGAACTTCTCCATCTAGAGCACCATAATCAGACCTGGTCCGAGACTCAAATAGTTAATTACAGGACCAATAGCCCTAGGGCACACTCCTATGATGGAAAGTGGGGAGAAAAGGCTCTGGTCCAGAGGGTGTTCTCCCAGCCTTGGCCCTGAGGCCAGCCATTACCTTCTTTAAGACTGTGATGTTTAGAGACCCTTCTCAAGGCATTTATTCTCCTGGGTCAGGTTTATGGTCAGGCCCATGTTAATTGGACACTTGCTAAGGAATATAAATGGACCCATCGCCCAAACCTCACTGGCTAGTTCAAGGACACACCAGTACAGGGCCACTAAACGTGGCAGTCCCCATGTCCTTTAAGGTGGCCAAAAAGGACATTAGACAGTGAGGACATGCTTATGATGCCAGTAAGCATGATTAAACCCAGCAAATGGAGTAGGCCCATGAGATGATCATGCATCTAGGGCACAAGGAGAACTATAAAGTGCTCTACAACTGGGCGACACCCCAGGGCTGGGAGTTGCAAGAAATAACCAGGGATGCAGGCATCCCTGTGTTCAATTTCAGATGGGCGCTACTCTTCCCAAGGCAAAAATCACCTTAAAGTGAATCCTGGATAATTGGGACCAATTTGACCCACAATCTTTGAAGAAGCAGCTTATTTTCTTCTGCAGCATGGCCTAGCCACAATACCCTCTGCAGAGTGGAGAATCCTGGCCCCCTGAGGGAAGTATAAATTATTACGCCCTTCTACAATGAGACCTTTTCTGTAGGATGGAAGGTAAGTGGATTGAGGTCTTTTATGTGCAAGTTTTCTTTTCTCCATGGGATAATCCCCAGCTATGTAGGGCTTATAACTTATGCCCTACTGGCTGCTCCTAAGGACTACCCCCATATCCAGGACTCCCTGTGGCTCCTCCCTCCACTGATGCTGACCAGCTCTCCCTAGCTTCTATGACCCAAGAGAAATCAGGGAAAGCTGAAATGACCAAGGCACCACAGGCTGCTAGGATGCCCCAACCAAAGTACATGCTCCCTTTTCACTTTCTGGCTTAAAGCACATCAAGGTGGACTTAGGAAAATTTTCAGTTGATCCGGACTAGTACGTAGATGTTCTGCAGGGCCTGGTGAGTCCTTTGAACTAGATGGAAAGAGTTCATGTTGGTGCTTAGTCAGACCTTAACCAGCAATGAGAGAGAGGCTGCTGTAACAGTGGCTCAAGAGTTTGGGGACTCTTGGTACCTTAGGCAAGTGAATGACAAAATGATGCCAGAGGAAAAGGATAGATTCCCTAAAGGTTGACAGGCAGTCCCTAGTGTAAACACTCTCTGGCACCCTGATTCAGAACATGGGGACTGGAACCGATTGGCCTGCATACTTCAGGGATTAAGACAAACCAGGAAGAAGCCCATGAACTATGTAATGTTATCCACCATAATTCAGGGAAAGGAAGAAAACCCACCAGCCTTCTGGAACAGTTACAAGAGGCCTTAAGAAAGTATACTCCCCCATCACCAGACTGCACTGAGGGTCAGCTAATACTAAAAGAAAAATTTATTACACAATTAGCAGCAGACATTGGAAGGAAGCTCCAAAAGCTGGCCCTGGGGCCAGAACAGAGTCTAGAATCATTAAGAAATCTAGCAACCTCAGTGTTTGATAATAGATATCAGGAGTAACAGGCTGAAAGGGACAGGAGGGACAAGAAAAAGGCTGCAGCCCTAGTCATGGCCCTCAGGCAGGTAGAACTAAGAGGTTCGGTACAGGGAAAGGCTTGCATTAGCCGCCAGTCTGGCAAAGCTTACTACCACTGTGGCCTACTGGGATACTTTAAGATAGATTGTCCCAAGAGGAACAGACCACCTCCTCATCCTTGCTCACTGTGCCAAGGCGATCACTGGAAGGCACACTGTCCCAGGGGATGAAGGTTCCCAGGGCCTGAGGTGACTAACCAGATGACCCAACAGCAGGACTGAGGGTGCCCAAGGCAAGCACCAGCACAATCCACCGCCCTCACTGAGGCCCAGGTAAAGCTAACCATAGAGGGCCAAGAGGTCAGTCTTCTCCTGGACACTGGCGTGGGCTTCTCAGTTTTGCTCTCTTGTCCTGGATGGTTGTCCTCCAAGTCTGTAACTATCCGAGGAGTCCTAGGACAAGCAGTCTCCTGATATTTCTCCCTGTAACTGGGGAGATGTGTTCTTCTCCCATGCATTCCTCACCACACATGAAAGTCCCACTTCCCTACTAGGGCAGGACCTGTTTGCCAGAGCAGGAGCCATTATCTATATGAATGTCAGGAAAAAGATCCCTCTCTGCTGCCCATTATTTGAAGAAGGGATTAATCCCGAGGTTTGGGCAATGGAGGGACAATTTGGACAGGCAAAGAATGCCTGCCCAATTTGAATAAAGCTAAAGGATCCCACTTCTTTTCCTTACCAAAGACGGTACCCGCTAAGACCAGAGGCCAAAAAGGGGCTACAGGATATTGTATAAATGTTAAAAGCTCAGGATCTAGTAAGGTCCTGTAACCGCCCTTGTAATACTCCAATTTTAGGAGTAAAAAACCCTAACAGACAAAAACCTAATGGCTGGTGAAAGATCTCAGGCTTATCAATGAAGTGGTGATCCCTTTATACCCAGCTGTACCCAACGCATACACCTTGCTCTCTCAACTACCAGCAGAGGCACAATGGTTTACAGTCCTGGACCTTAAGGATGCTTTTTCCTGTGTTCCATTACATCCTGACTCCCAGTTTCTGTTCATCGTTAAAGACCCTTCAGACCAGAATTCTCAGCTCAACTGGAGAGTGCTACCCCAGGGCTTTTGAGATAGCCCCACCTGTTCAGCCAGGCTCTAGCTCAGGACCTTAGTCATTTTTCACATCCAGGTACCCTGGTCCTTTAATACATAAAGGACTTACTTTAAACTGCTAACTCAGAAACCCAGTGTCAGCAGGCCACCCAGGACCTTCTAAACTTTCTGGCCACCTGTGGATATAAGGCTTCCAAATCAAAAGCCCAACTTTGTAGGCAAGAGGTAAAATACCTAGAGCTTGTCTTGTCTAAGGGCACTCGGGCCCTTGATGGAGAATGTCTCCAGTCCATACTAGCCTTCCCCCAGCCAAAAATTTTAAAAGAGGTGTGAGGATTTTTAGGAATGACCAGTTTCTGCCGATTGTGGATTCCCAGATACAGTGAAATAGCCAAACCCCTATGTACTCTGATTAAGGAAACTCAAAAAGCTAACATCCATCTAATACAATGGGACCGTATGGCTGAGGCAGCCTTTCAGAGCCTGAAGCAGGCATTACTGCAGGCTCCAGCCCCAAGCTTTCCTACAGGAAATGACTTTTCCTTATACGTTACAGAAAAGTCAGGAGTGGCACGGTGGGGTTCTCACCCAGACTCGGGGGACCCTGCCACAACCAGTGGCATACCTAAGTAAGGAAATTGATGCAGTAGCAAAAGGCTGGCCACACTGCTTGTGGGTCATAGCTGCGGTGCCTATATTGGTCTCAGAAGCAATTAAAATAGTGCAGGGAAAAGATCAAAGCGTATGGACTTCACATGATGTAGCTGGAATTCTGGCCTCTCAAGGAGGCTTATGGCTGTCTGACAACCACTTACTCAAATATCAGGCCCTAAGGCTCAAAGGGCCTGTACTTCAGCTGCGCACATGTGCAGCCCTCAATCCAGCTACTTTTCTTCCCAAGGAAGAGGCAGACAGAGAACATGACTGCCAGCAGGTTATAGCCCAGAACTATGCAGCTTGAGAGGATCTCTTAGAAACTCCTCTAGTCAGTCCTGACCTTAACGTATACACTGACAGAAGTTCATTTACAGAAAATGGAGTTCGGAAGGCAGGATGTGCAGTAGTCAGTGATCAAATGGTGCTTGAAGGTAATTCCCTTCCTCCAGGAACTATTGCCCAGCTGGCAGAACTAGTAGCCCTCACTCAAGCTCTAAAATTAGGGAAAGGAAAGAGAATAAACATACACAGAGATTCCAAATATGCTTACCTTGTTCTCCACGCTCATGCTACTATATGAAAGGAAAGAGGGTTCCTAACCTCAGCAGGAACTCCCATTAAATACCATGGGAAATTTTAGACTTACTACGAGCTGTCCAAGAACCCAAAGAGGTAGCAGTCTCACACTGCCAAGGTCACCAGAAAGGAGATAAGGAAGTGGAGGGCAATTGCCGAGCTGACCTAGAGGCAAAAAGGGCAGCTAAACAAGAACTTATAGAAGAACCTTTAATATGGGAAAACCCTCTCCAGGGAACTAGACCTCAATACTCATCAGAAGAGGTAGAGTGGGCAGTCTCCCAGGGACATTGTCTTCTTCCTTCAGGATGGCTAGCTACTGAGGAGGGAAAAGTACTCCTACCTGCTGCCAGCCAGTGGAAAGTACTTAAAACCCTACATCTCCATATGGGTATGGAAAATAGATATTGAATGGTCAAATCTATATTTACAGAAAAAGGTCTCTTCAAGACTATCCAACAAATAGTCAAAGGATGTGAAATATACCAGGAAAACAATGCTCTGACACATCGCAAAATTCCTCCTGGGGAACAGTAAACCAGTCATTACCCAGGTGAGGACTGACAAATGGCCTTTACCCATATGCCTAAGTCCCAGGGATATCAATATCTGTTAGTATGTGTAGATACCTACAAAAACCAGGTTGAGGCTTCTATCCTGTAGGATAGAAAAAGACAAGAGGTAATAAGAGTCCTGATTATAGAAATAATCCCTAGATTTAGACTCCCTCGCTGTCTTCCAAGTGATAATGGCCGGCCTTCAGAGCTGCAGTAACCCAAGGAATTTCCAAAGCGTTAGGAATATAGTATAATCTCCACTGTGCTTGGAGGCCTCAGTCCTCAGGAAATGTGTAAAAGATGAACAAAATTCTTAAGAGACACTTAAAAAAACTGGCACAGGAACCCCACTTCCAATGGCCCACTCTGTTACAAATGACACTCTTAAGGGCTCAAGACTCTCCTCGGAAAATAGGACTCAGTACCTATGAGATGCTTTATGGATGGCCGTTTCTTACCAGTGATCTCATATTAGACAAAGAAACAATAAATGTAATAAAAAAATATAACCTCCTTGGCTAAGTACCAACAGGCACTTATGACTTTACCTGAAGGACACCCTAGGGAAAAAGGGAAAGACTTGTTCTGCCCTGGAGATGTGGTACTTGTCAAGTCTCTCCAATCCAACTCTCCCTCCTTAGGCCCATCTTGGGAAGGATGATTTTCAGTTATTCTGTCTACCCCAAGGTCAGTTAAGGTGGTGGATATTGACTCATGGATCCATTACCCTTGGTTGAAACCTTGGACATCTCCTAAAGAAGATCATGTGCCCTCTGCTCCACAGCCTGAGGTTCTAGGAGGCTGCTCTTCATACACCTGCGAGCCTTCAGAGGATCTATTTGCTCTTCCAACAAGATCCCCAGGAAAGTAAATACTCTTGAGTCTAACTTACATTATTGACAGGAATATCACTTTTAACTTTACTATTTGCAACTGGACTCCATGTGGTTGCCCCTAAGGATTGGCTCACATCCTATAGACTCTCCATATCTGTGACTTTCTGCCTAATTATACTTGTAATAGCGATCATCACTCTCTTCCTACGACCTCTCCTGTGGTCCTCATTATCATCTTTGCTGCCTGTGCTCTGCTTTATTCCCATACCACCTGCAAATGCACCCAAAGGGGTCACAACTGGAACAATTTTGAACGGGGAACAAGCCCACTCCCTGGTTGGTCTTGGGGATTAGGTCAGCAGGCCTCCTTTTTATCCTATACTTGTATGCACAAACATTGCTATACATCTGCTTCCCACATAAAACTCATACACGTAGGAAATGGGAACAATAACCGGGCCTAATTGTCCAGCTGCTAAGGGAATCACTGCCTGCAGGACATATTTTACCCATGTCGGGATTTCAGATGGGGGCAGAGTTCAAGATCAGGCACAGGAACAGCATCTCCGGGAAGTAATCTCTAGCCTAAGCAAACCATGAAGTACCCCCAGCCCCTACAAGGGCCTGGACCTTTCTAAGTTACACAAGACCCTTCGCACACACTCCTGTCTGCTCAACTTATTTAACAGCACCCTCACAGGAATGCATGAGGCCTCCTCTGACAACCGAACTGACCATTGAATGTGCCTCCCACTACACTTCAAATCATATATCCTAGTTCCGGTTCCATACTCACAGAACATAACTAACTCTTCCTCAAATCATATGGAGCTTATAGGTCCCTTGGTCACCAATCTACAGATTCTGTCTAGCTCAAACGTCACTTGCGAGAACTCTACCAGCAACTCCAGTGCTTCTCTATGCCAAAACTGGGTCACCTTACCACCGGACTTCAACTGCCTAGCACCAGGCTTATTCTTTGTTTGTGGCTCCTCAGTTTACCGCTGCCTAAGCAGTACCCTGGGGGAAATATGCCTCCTCTCCTTCCTAGTGCCCCTCCATGACCATTTACACTGATTCTCAGTTGCACAGTTTTCTTTTGCCCAGGCCATGCCATACTCAAATGCCAATTCCTCCTTTCATAGTGGGAGCCGGAATACTAGATGGGCTTAGTACTGGCATTGGAGGAATTACTACCTATACTCAGTTTTACTGTAAGCTATCCCAGGCGTTAAATAATGACATGGAAAAGGTTGCTGCTTTTCTCAAGACTCTACAAAAGCAGCTTAATTCTTTAGCAGCTGTGGCTTTTCAAAATCAAAGGGCCTGGGATCTGTTAATGGCAGACAAAGGAGGAACTTGTCCCTTTTTAGAAGAATGCTGTTACTTTGTAAACCAATCAAGTATCGTCCTAAATAAGGCTAAAGAACTCAGGAACCGAATAGAACACAGAGCTAAGGACCTCCGAGAAATAGGATCATGGAGCTTGCTTAACCACTGGCTACCCTGGCTCTCCCTCTTCTAGGCCCCTTAATAACTGTCCTATTACTGTCTGCCTTTGGGTCTCTCATCTTTAACATTCTTGTCAAATTAGTGTCTTCCAGAATTGAGGCCATGAGGCCATCCTGCAAATGGAACCCCAGATATCCTTGGCTCATGATTTCTATTGTGGACCACTGGATCAACCTGCAGCCCTAGAAGACTCCCATCTGGAGGAAATTCAGCTGCAGGGCCCCTTCTACCCCCAAGTTCAGCAGGAAGTAGTTAGAGCAATGACGTAAGTGTCCCAACAGCAGTTGGACTTTCCTGTTCAGAGGAGGGGACTGAGGGACTGTCTTAGAGGGACTTTCTGGGGCCAGCTAGGGGCTTTGTCTCTGGTTTTCCTACCTCTGGCTCTTAAGGGCTTTGTCTCCAGTTTTACCACATCTGGCTCCTAGGGGCTTTGTTTGGGGGCAGGAACTTTTCCTGCCTCTGGCCCTTGGAGTTGGGGTCTCCGTGACTCAAGGTTGTAGAACAGTAGTCAATCTGGTAAAGGATTCAAAGATCAAAGATCAATTAATCCAGAGAAAGTTTGAAAGAACCTTTCTCATTGGATGAGAACGTGAATGGGGAGGAAATAACTCAGGGGTAAAAGGTCTAGCCACCCCAGCCTGGAGTGGCACCCCTTCTGGGTTCCCTTCCACAGTGTAGAAGCTGTCCTTTCACTCTGCCTAATAAACTGCACTATCGCATATTCTTTGGGTCCATGAGTTCTATCTGAGCTGTAGCACTCACCGAGGACCCCTTTCCCATTCTTCGGACTTAGGGAGGCAAGAACCTGCAGCGAGTCCAGTTACAATACCTCAGGCCGCAATGGGTGCAATGCATTATGGCTGCCATTTGTGATATTACGAGATAAAAAATAGTTCACTGGTGTCAACCTTCCACCCTGTGCTCAGCTCTGGACTAGGTATTCTCAGGATTTACAGAGGCTAAGAAATCTCATCCAGAACATAATATGCACGCATAGAAGGCACAGAGAAACAATGATGCACTCTCATTGAGAGCTCAGTGGAGTGTTACTGACAAGTGCAGTAGGAGTTCAGAAAAGAAGAGGAGGCCACTATAGGCAGCTGGAGTCAGAGAAGGGAAATGACCTTGCGAGGGCCCTAGAATTTGGATATGTGGAGAGAAGGGGAGGAGAGTTTCTAAAGAGGAGAGCAACAAAATCGGAAGTAGGTAACAAACCATGAACCTGGTTTGTTTGGAGGACAGTGAGGAGACCTTTCTGGTTGCACACACAGAGTGTGTATTTGGGGGAGGAGAGGAAAACAGATTTCAGCAGAGAACCCAAAATATAAAGGTCCTGAAAGTTTTCCTATGAAGGGGTAATCCAAAGATGTTTCAGCAGCTGCAAGAAGTGAGAAAACAGTACTTCGGTAAGAGCCTTGTTAGGGCATAAATAGTTTAAATCAAGAGTTGCCAACCTAGCCTGCCTCCTGCTTTTGTCTGGCCCATGAGTTAAGAATAATTTTTACATTGTTAAATGGTTGCCAAATGTTAAATAAAAATACTATCTTGTGACCTGTGAAAATAATATGCAATTTAAATTTCAGAGTCTGTAAATAACATTTTCATTGGAACACAGCCATACTCATGTGTTTACTTATTATTTATGGCAGCTTTTGTGCTAAAATGGCAGAGTTGTGATGGAAATTGCATGGCCCGAAAAGCCTGAAATATTTACTATTTTATCTTTGCAGAATCTGTTTAGAGGCCCTTGATTTAGGCTGACAAGGGAGAAACGGGAAGAAGAGAGTAACTAGGACTAAGGCAAACGTGAGGTACATGAGTTGGGCAAAGATTTCAAAAGGAAGGGTAGCTAAAAAAGAAGACTGCCCTTGCATTAATCAAATCAAATTTTAATGCAATATTTTAAAAAATAAAAATTAGGCCGGGCACGGTGGCTCATGCCTGTAACCCCAGCACTTTGGGAGGCCAAGGCGGGTGGATCACAAGGTCAAGAGATCGAGACCATCCTGGTCAACATGGTGAAACCCCATCTCTACTAAAAATACAAAAAATTAGCTGGGCATGGTGGTGCGTGCCTGTAATCCCAGCTACTCAGGAGGCTGAGGCAGGAGAATTGCCTGAACCCAGGAGGCGGAGGTTGCGGTGAGCCGAGATCACGCCATTGCACTCCAGCCTGGGTAACAAGAGCAAAACTCGTCTCAAAAAATAAAAATAAAAATTAATCCAAAAATCTGTGATGAACAAAATAGCAGAATTTAAACGTAAGAAGGATAACAGTGCTGCATTATGCCATAGTAAAGCCCAAGGCCAAAGGAAAATTGGTAATTATTAAAATTTTTGGTACCTCCTTAAATTTTGTACAAGAGGCAAGTTCCTTCACTCAGCCCACCCTAATCCTGGCCTGGTGAGCTTTCTGTAGGATGTTGCAGTGATATTCAGAGTGGGGAAGATGATGATTAGGGAAAAACAGGCAGCAGAATGTACAGAGACTTAGATGTGAAACTTAAATCTCGTATCTCCACTTCTTTTTCTGTGACAGGGTCTCACAATCTTGGCTCACTGCAGCCTCGACCTCCTGGGCTCAGGTGATCCTCCTACCCCAACCTCCCAAGTAGCTGGGACTATAGATATGCGTCACCATGCCAAGCTTTTTTTTTTGTATTTGTAGCGGAGACAAGGTTTTGCCATGTTGTGCAGGCTGGTCTTGAACTCCTGGACTCAAGCAATCTGTCTGCCTTGGTTTCCCAAAGAGCTGAGCCACCACACCTGGCTGTATCTCCACTTTAAAGGAAATCATTTCACTTGAAGGAAGCCTTGATATATGCCTGGACTAAATAAACAGCCTCAAAGCTTCTCTGACAGTTCCCCAGAACCCCCGTCCTCCACTATCCTTGTCTCTTGCAAAGCACAGGATGAAGCTATTCTCTGAAGTTTCTTTCATTGACCTAAAAGGTAGACCTGCCAAAGAGGAACTTCACCAACGAGAAGATTATAACTCTTATCACAGAGGAGGAGACTGAAAATTAAACAACACACCTAGAGCCTAACCAAACTGTCTCAAATCATTGTCTGTTCTCCAGTCCCATTCCATTTCCAAAGAGAACAATTCACAAGATAATGTCTTTCTCCTGGGTTCATTCATTCTCTTTAAAACTCATTTACTCCTACATTCCCAACTCCTTGTCTTCTATGAAGAAAGGTATATAAGCATCTGTACCCCATTGGATTATGGATAATCATTCTTCTGTGATTCCCTCAAGCTAAAATAAAATTGTATGCCCTTTTCTTCTGTTAATCTTGTATCCATTCATTTTCAGTGATTCTTCAGAGAGTGAAGGGAGAAACTTTCTCTCTTTGCCCGGACATACACATTTCACCTGAAGTGAAAGTCAAAGCCTGTAAGGCGATACAATCCAGCCACCAGTCCCTTAGCTCTCCAACTACATTCCTGAGGAGTCTTCTCCTCACTTGCTTCCTGCTAACCACCCTGGATTCCTTAGCATCCTTTCACAATGCCAGGTATGCTTCATCTTGAACCTTTGCAGTGGCATATCCCTTTGCCAAGAGTCTTGTCGCTGACGTGCACGTGTGATGGTTAATATTAAGTATCAACCTGATTGAATTGAAGAATGAAAAGTATTGTTTCTGGGTGTGTCTGTGAGAGTGTTTCCAGAAGAGACTGATATTTGAGTCACTGCACTAGGAGAGGCAGGCCCACCCTCAATCTGGGTGGGTACCATCCAATCGGCTGCCAGCACAGCTAGAACAAAGCAGGAGGAAGAAGGTGGGATAAGCTGGCTTGCTCAGGGTATTAGTTCATTCTCACACTGCTAATAAAGACATACCCAAGACTGGGTGATTTATAAAGAAAAGAGGTATAATTGACTTACAGTTTCACATGGCTAGGGAGGCCTCAGGAAACTTACAACCATGGTGGAAGGGGAAGCAAACACATCGTTTTTCACATGGTGCCAGGAGAGAGAATGAGAGTCGAGTGAAGGGGGAAGCCCCTTATAAAACCATCAGATCTAGTGAGAACTCATTCACTATCATGAGAACAGTATGGAGGTTCCCTATGATGCTATTACCTCCACCTGGTTCTGCCCTTGACACTTGGGGATTATTACAATTCAAGATGAGATTTTGGGTAGGGACACAGCCAGACCATATCACTGAGTCTTCTGGCTTTCGTCTTCCTCCCATGCTGGATGCTTCCTGCCCTTGAACATCAGACCCCAGTTTCTTAGGCCTTTGGACTCTTGGACTTACACCAGTCATTTGCTGGGGGCTCTCGGGCCTTCAGCCACAGACCGAAGGCTGCACTGGTGGCTTCCCTACTTTTGAGGCTTTGGGACTCAGACTGAACCACTATTGGCCTCCTTGCTCCTCAGCTTGCAGATGGCTGATGGTGGGACTCCACCTTGTGATGGTGTGAGTCAATTCTCCCTTTCATGTATTCATCTATCTTATTAGTTCTGTCCCTCTGGAGAGCCCTGACTAATACAACATACTGAAGCCTCACCTTCTTGGAGTCTGCACATGTGTCACCCTCTCAGGAAGGCCTCTTCTGACTACACTAAGATTATATTAAGATTACACCCACCCCTTCACCAACACCCCACTCTCTGTTTTGTTTTTTCCACTGTTTCTATCAGCTGCTAAGTACTGTAGCATGTGCTGATTGAATGCCCCCATCTGACTGCACGTCCCATGAAGGCAAGAGTTCTGCTTTGCTGCTGCAGATGCTCAGTAGAGTGCCAGTGCTCCATCAATACTTGAGGGCCAGATGATTAATAGAAACCAGTAGACCTTGTGGTGGCAAAGAGAATAGGAAGGATTTTTTTTTTTTTTTGTAATTGAAGGTCTAAAGCATTACTTTTACTAAAACAGTGAGTGTTTTAGTCCATTTGTATTACCATAAGGAGTACCTGAGGTTGGGTAATTTATAAAGAAAAGAGGTTTGTTTGGCCCATGGTTCTGAGGCTGTACAAGAAGCATGGCACTGGCACCTGCATCTGGTGGTGGCTTCAGGCTTCCTCCACTCACGATGAAAGGGGAAGGAGAACCAGATTGTGCAGATCACATGGCAAGAGAGGCAGCTAGAGAGCAAGAGGGGTGGTGCTAGGTTCTTTTTAACAACTGGCTTTCATAGGAACTAATAAAGTGAGAACTCATAGAACTCATACCCTGCATCCACCCTCGCAGGGAGGGCATTAATCTATTCATGAGGAACCAGCTTCCATGACCCAAACACCTCCCATTAGGCCCCACTTCCAACACTGGGGATCAAATTTCACATGAGATTTGAAGGGACAAACATCCAAACTATAGCAGTGAGCAAACAAACTTCTCCCTTAAACAAAAAACTGAGGGTACCTAATGCTAAAACCTCACACCTGTACCTTCTGGCCTGTTGACTGGGCTTCCCATACACTCATTTTTCCTGCTCCTTAGAATTTTTAACTTCCAGTAAAACTCGAATTGCTTTTTCAAGGGCAACTTTAATCAGAATAACCAGCTCTACACACACATTACAGGAAAAGGAAAACCAGTTATTGTGTGCGTGTGTGTGTGTTAGGCTATTAAGAAAAACACAGTGGTAGGTTTTTTCCCCCATTGGCTTTTTTTTCTCCATTATCATCCATGTCTTTCTGTTCAGGATGGAGGTCATCCATTTGGAATCCCGTGTCCTCTTGCAGGGTTCTGCCAAGTATTAGTCATAACTCAGCCCCTTTTCACATTAAGCCTCCCAGTTGTCCTTGCTTATTTTAGTAGCCTGGTGCTCACAGTAGCAGCCGGTTGCCTGGCTACTCCTAGGCAGCTAAAACCATCTTGAGTTGAACACAAATGAAGCAGGAAGGAAAAAGCTGAATTTTATGCTAGGGTTTTTGTCCAAGATCTTCTGAACAGGGTCTGTTTCCTAACTGCAGTCTGTCCAAAGGGTAACTTCCCATCACTCCACATATTATAGCTATCTGATAATTATTAAAATCTGAATATTAAAGTCATCTTTGTGTGGAGGGAATAATTAATGTATGTACCTTTCCAATATGGCCTTAAATACTCCCCCAAATTTTTTAGCTATTAATGTTTTCTCCCACCCTAAAACATATGTATTTTTAATATTTACCCTGCCCATTTAATAGCAATAAGAGAAGTACATCAATTACCTAAGGCAGAGATCAGCGAACTTCTTCTGTATAGGGCCAGATAGTAAAGACTTCTAGCTTTGTGGGCCATCCATTCTCTAATACAATTATTCAGTTCTGCTATGGTAGCATGAAAACAGCCAATAATACATAAATGAATGAGCATGGCTGTGTTTCAATAAATCTATTTATACTGTGACATAATTTTAAAAATCTGTATTTAGTTTCTGCCCTTGTTCCCAGCATACAGCTTTTAAAATATGAGGTGTCTCTGGCCTGGTAAGAGTCTCTTTTGCATACTAATGAGATGACTGGTGGCCCCTAAATAGCTTCAAGACAGGAACTGGTCAGAAAAAAACTGGGGCATGATTAGAGACTTGGAACTTTTAGTCACCTATCTTAATCTCCAGGGAGGGGACATGAGCTGAAAGATTGAGTTGATCACCAATGGTCAACCGTAGGACCTAGATTTTAGTATCTGTGGGAGTCTTGGAAATAATCCCCTGAGATTACTATGATCATCATCAGTCAAGTCTACATAATGACCATAATTAGTCCATAAATACCCAGAAGGACAGAGTTGGAAAAGCTTCTAGATAGCTGAACTCATGGAGGTGTCAAGAGGGTGGTATATCCAGAGAGGACACAGAGTTTCTGTGCCCTTTTTCATATACCTTGCCCTATTCATAATTCCCATCTGGCTATTCATCTGCATCCTTTTTACTATTAATTAATTAATTAATTTTTTAGATGGAGTCTCACTCTGTCATCCAGCCTGGAGTGCAGTGGTGAGATCTCGGCTCACTGAAACCTCTGCCTCCCAGTTTCAAGTGATTATCCTGCCCCAGCCTCCAGAGTAGCTGGCATTACAGGCACGCACCACCACGCCTGGCTAGTTTTAATATTTTCAGTAGAGACCGGGGTCTCACTATGTTGTCCAGGCTGGTCCTGAACTCCTGACTTCAAGTTATCCTCCTGGCTCAACCTCAAAAGTTCGGGATTACAGGCAAGAGCCACCATGCCTGGCCTAGACTATTCTTTATAATAAACTGTTCAATGTAAAGAAAGTGTTTCCCTGAATTCTGTGAGCCACTTTAGCAAATTAATCAAACCTGAAGAGGCGGCTGAGGGAACCTTGATTTCTAGCCAGTCAGAAGCACAAATTACAACCTGGGGCTTTTAGTTCGCATCTGGAGTTCGGGCAGTCTTGCGGGACTGAGCCCTTAACCTGTAGGGGCTGATGCTACCTTCAGGTGGAAAGTATCAGAGTTAACTTGAATTATAGAACACTCAGTTGGTGTCCACTAGAGATTTACTTAGTGTGTGGGGAAAAACCTTTACATATCTGGTCACAGAAGGGTGCTATGGTGAAAAACAGTTTGTGATTTCAAATTTGAATTTCATGTAATTTTTCATGTGTTACAAAGTACTTTTCTTCCATTGACTGTTTATAATCAGTGAAAAATAGAGAAATCTGTTCTTAGCTCAGAGGCTATACAAAAATAAGAGTGGAGGAAAGGAGGCCTGATCTGGGCTCATGGGCCACACTTTCCCTACCTTTGGCCTAGGTTGGCAAACTGTAACCTTGAGAACCTAATATCTAATGTGATGGAATTAACAGGTGGGACCTTTGGGAAGTGGTGAAGTCATGAGGCCTCCACCCTCACAAAGGGAATTAATACCTTATAAAAGAGACCAGGGAGAGTCTGTTTGCCTTTCCTGCCATGTGAGGACACATTGAAGGCACCATTTATGAGAAATAAATGGTGCCCTCACCAGACACCAAATTTGCTGGTTCCTTGATCTTGGACTTCTCAGCCTCCAGAATTGTGAGTGATAAATTTCTGTCATTTGTAAATTGCCCAGTGTAAGATATTTTGTTTTAGAGCCTGAATGCGCTAACAGAGTAAGCATATATTATTTGTGGTTTCTGAAAGGAACAGTAACACTATTTTTACTTCAAAGAAAATGTTTAACTTTAATGTTCATTGAAGTATTAATTCTATTAAAAAGTTAAAAACAACCTAAATATCCCATAACAGAGAAGCCACTGCTAAATGCCTCTGTACATCAGAATACTAATTGGCCTTTAAGATGACATTGTCAGTGGTAGAGAATGCTAGTTTTTGAAGTGAAGAGACCTGAG